TGGAGCACGGATCGAGTTTCCCAAAGGCTGGAGCGTTGGCCTTCTCACCCACTCCAATTTCGCTCCAGTACAGCTCCAATAGTGCTCACTTCACTTCACCAGCTCAGGGCATACCCGGCCCAGCATGCATTTGTAGGCTACTTGTGTGCTGCTATAGCCTTGCTTTAGCTACTGTCATGGAGTTCGCTAAATATTTTCAGAAAAATACTAATAAAACCCACAGGTGCAAAATCAAGGTGACATACACTAAACACAAATATAAACGCAACATGTAAAAAGTGTTGGTCCCATGTTTCATGAGCTGAAATAAAAGATCCCAGAAATTTTCCATACACACAAAAAGCTTATTTTGTGCACAAATTTGTTTACATCCCTGTTAGTGAGCATTTCTCCTTTGCCAAGATAATCCATCCACTTGACAGGTGTGGCATATCAAGAAGCTAAACAGCATGATCATTACACAGGTGCACCTTGTGCTGGGGACAATAAAAGGCCACTCTAAAATGTGCAGTTTTGTCAATTGGCATGCTGACTGCAGGAATGTCCACCAGAGCTGTTTCCAGATAATTTTATGTTAATTTCTCTACCGCAAGCCGCCACCAACATCGTTTTAGAGAATTTGGCAGTACGTCCAACCGGCCTCACAACCTCAGACCACGTGTATGGTGTCATGTGGGCGAGCGGTTTGCTGATGTCAACGTTGTGAACAGAGTGCCCCATGTTGGCGGTGGGGTTATGGTATGGGCAGGCATAAGCTATGGACAATGAACACAATTGCATTTTATTGATGGCAATTTGAATGCACAGAGATACCGTGAGGCTCATTGTCATGCCATTCATCCGTCGCCATCACCTCATGTTTCAGCATGATAATGTACGGCTCCAGGTCGTAAGGATCTGTACACAATTTCTGGAAGCTGAAAATGTCCCAGTTCTTCCATGGCCTGCATACTCACCAGATATGTCACCCACTGAGCATGTTTGGGATGCTCTGGATCGACGTGTATGACAGCGTGTTCCAGTTCCCACTAATATCCAGCAACTTCACACAGCCATTGTTGAGGAGTGGGACAACATTCCACAGGCCACAATCAACAGCCTGGTCAACTCTATGCGAAGGAGATGTGTTTTCTGATCCATGCCCTACCTTTTCTTTTAAAGGTATCTGTGACCAGCAGATGCATATCTTTATTCCCAGTCATGTTAAATCGATAGATTAGGGCCTAATGAATTTATTTAAATTAACTGATTCCCTTAAATGAACCGTAGCTCAGTAAAATCTTTGAAATTGTTGCATGTTGCATTTATATTTTAGTTCAGTCTACAACACAGGTGGCCGGTGGCACCTTAATTGGGGAGAACGGGCTCGTAGTAATGACTGTAGCGGAATCAGTGGAATGGTATCAAATACATCAAACACATGGTTTCCAGGTGTTTGATGCCATTCCATTTGCTCCGTTCCGACATTTATTATGAGCCGTTCTCCCCTCAGCAGCCTCCACTGGTATACAAAGATGAGGAGGACCATGAGCAAGAGAGGGAGTGCGGTGATGTAGAGTCCACAACTAAAGAATCATTGTGGAATCTGAAAAATTGTGGCCTATCCCGAAAATATGATGTGTACTACGTGTACATGCTAACAGAAAGGAAGGAGGTGGGTAGCTAGCTAAGTGTGTCATTGTAGCAAAGGATTTATAAACAAAACATCTGATCTCTTAAAAGTTTCCTTCATTTTAGTTATATTATCTATACAATAGGCTATCATTGATTTTGTCCCAGTAGGCCTGACATATTACAGCTTTCCATTTGATAGGGTTATTTTGCCTAAAAACCTTTAGGCCTACCTATAGAAAAATACAGAAAAACAACTATGCATCCCTGCCCAGCCTGGCAAGAGTGGCCCGAAGGGTGCTTAGCATCCTCAGTGGCTCTGCAAGCGTGGAGAGGGTATTCTCCGCTGCTAGTCTGCTCTTTAGGCACCATCGCATGAGGCTGAAGCCACAGACTCTGGCCAAACTCATGTTTTTAAAAGTGAATTCAAAGGCACTGTAGGCTGAGCCTAATAAGGCATTTTTTTGTTTCATTTTTATTTGATTCTAAGTCAAGGCCTATATGCGCAATTTATAGACTATAATGCTGAGCTCTTAATGTTCCTGCCAGCCTAGTGTGTCGCAAATGCGTGTCACGATCGTCATAATGAACGGACCAAGGCGCAGCGTGATATGCGTACATCTTCTTTTATTACTTGTACACACACGAACAAAACAATAACAACAAACGATACGTGAAGTCCTCGGTTAACACCACAAACCAACACGGAACAAGATCCCACCAATGACAAGTGCACAAAAGGCTGCCTAAGTATGGTTCCCAATCAGAGACAACAAGCAACAGCTGATTCATGTTGCCTCTGATTGGGAACCACCCCGGCCAACATAGAAAACACATGAACTAGAAACTGAACATAGAACACAAAACATAGACACTACACAAAGAAATTAACACCCTGGCTCAACATACAAGTCCCCAGAGCCAGGGCGTGACAATGTGTCACAATTAATTTCTTTGTAGGCTATAGCCTTGAAATAATTAAAATAATAGGCTAATAATATAGCCTAAATAATTTATTTGTGTTCCTTCGTAGGCTCCCTGTCTGGCTCCTGACCTATTTAGAGTGTTTTATGATGTTTAGTACGACATGTAGCCTATTTGAAGTGATGCGCTTCTTACAGTCACCTTTTCATGTTGCTTATTAAAATACTTTTCATTCAAATCATATGGTTTGGTTTCAATACTTCAACTGTGATGCTGGGGTCATTGCTGTGGGTGGGGATGCTGGCTGCAGGGTTGCTAGAAGCTGCTCTGGGAACAGTGGCTGTGGTGAGTTTCAGACTAAAAAGGGGCAGCGAGGGTGACGGTCATTCTCATCTGCCCTGAAACTCATTCTCCCAGCATGCTCTTTGCTGGGGTCGAAGGGGCAGCATGGGGGCCACGAGTTTAGAACCTCTGTAGCAGTAGGGGCGGTGCTAAGCTCGCAGGGTCTAGCATAGGGAACTGTCATACTGGGACCAGCAGAATTAATAACAGTAACCCTTGTTGCAGTGGGGTCCTTTATACTATGTGCACCAAAGAGTCCGTTCCATACTCAGATTAAAATGAGGGGTCCTCACAGGGGCCAGCATGATGGGAGGAATCTGCATGGAAACTGTAACCGTGGCAGCTGCATCTCTCTGAGCAGGGGCACTGGGAGCAGCAGTGCTAGGAACAGCTGCACTGGGGAGACTGGGGACATTGGGAGTACTGGTGGCAGCGGTACTAGGAAAAACTACATGTGGACTGGGAGACTGAGACAGTGGCTTACAGCAGCAGACTGTTGATTCTCTGTGTGTGTGTCTGTCTGTGTGTGTGTGTGCGTGCGCACGTGCGTGTTTGTACACCTATTTGTACTTTACTGAGACTTTACAGAGTGCACTGACATTATTTGCTGACCATGGCCAGTTAATGACCTATAAATCATAATCAACATGAAGGATAAGTCAAGGTGTGTATCCTTTGTCTATGATTATGATTATGGTCATTATGAGGATGTAGGATTCATAACTTGCTTATTGTGGGTTTAGTTAGGGAAGTATGAGAACTACCACCCTCCCTTCCATCTTCTCTCCATTCCCTACCTCCCTACTCCATCCTCCATTCCTCCCCCAAGACACAATAACAATCCGGTAGTTAGTTTGGTTTCAACTGCGTTAGCAACATCAGGGAGAGAGGGGGGAGGGAAGAGAGAAAGAGAGAGGGAGAGCGAGAGAGATTGGTCTGTTTGCTGGAAAGAAAACAGTTTAAAGAATCCTTCTGACTCCAAGAGGATTAAAAGCAATGATGCAATTGACAATGTTTTGCCATCCTTGATCTAAAACCATTTGTGAGTACTTATGGAATCTGTTGGATATTTACCTCAAACCTGACTAATTAGGGCATTTTAGGTGATGACAGTTTCACAACTATTTGAGTTTTTTAAACAAACCTGTTGCCAAGTCTTTAAATACCACATTTGCACTAAGATTGTAATTGTTTTAGATAATATTGATTATATTGCATTTTATCAATTTCAAATGAATTTGTCTAATGCTTTTAGATTACTTTCGCCTACTTTAGAATAAATGAATAATGATATTGTGTATTTTACACATTTCAAAGTATTCTCATATTTTGTTTTCATACTGTAGTGTAGGATATGATGTGTCAGTGTTATGCGTAATTGGATAACTATCGGTTGTTATCCATCCAAGGCAAAGTGAATCAAGACAAGAAACAAGTTATGATGTCTTCTTGAGATCACCGAGTATCAGTCTTTATAAAAGGAAAACCAATATGATTGTATTGCATGCTGCTCTTTTGCAAGGTTTGCCATGGAAACGGTGGAGGACAGTGGCGCAGAGATAGTGACTGTGTGATCTGGTAGGCGAGGGAGACATTTTCAAGCATCGCAAATGTTATTATTTTTCAGAGCTGACATAATGGTGAATCGGAAAACATGGACATATTTTTTCATAGCGGTAAGGGGAGGTCATGTCAAACTTGGTGGTGTTAGTCAGACCAAGTCTTCTCTAGATATGGTGGACCTGGAGCACTAGGGCTTTAAACCCACCTTTACGAAATATAACTCCACAGACTTGTATTAACAAATATATTTATCCAAGTAAAACATGTTGTCATAATCTTGCCGCCTATGCATATATTGCGTTTCTCTTGTCGTTGAAATGACGGTCTGATGCGATTCACTGGAGACACTTTTAGTTAGCCTACTGTGGTTAGGCTATGGCATCATGTCATTAATTCACCTGTAAAGCAATGACAGGGTTTGCCAGTCGTGACATCTCACTGAATCTCTGAAGCAAAAAACACCCTGTCTGCCTGCGTACTCAAGGATCCAGTGCGTTTTGGAGAAAAGTAGGATTACGGATTACCTTCACTGAGACTGGAACTCTTACTTTGGAGCCAATATGTCTCTAAACCGGGTTTACACGGACACGGAGCAGTCTGCAGAGGATTCTGGAGAATGTTCGGCCACAGTCGCGTCGGACAACGGGCACGGGGCAGGTCGTACGCACGAGGTGACCGTGCGCAACTCCGGCTGCTGCGTGTGCCTGCCGCGCATCATGCGCCTCACCTTTGCGCCCGAGTCTCTCGAGCGGCTCTACCAGGTCTACTTCCGACGGCAGCGACAGGAGACTCTTCTGGTGCTGGTGGTGTTTGCAGCGCTTTTCAACTGCTATGTCATCGTCATGTGCGCAGTGGTGTACACGACGGACAAACGTACAATGGTCGTGGTCGCGGCAGTTGGCCTTGCTGCGGATATTGTACTCTACACGCTGTGCCGGCTGCGCAAGCTCCCCGCGGCGCCTGTTGTGAGCGGTGCGATACCATACATACTCTGGCTGATGATAGCCGTGCACGTGCTGTGCTACCTGGGGCTGAACTACCAGCTTTCCCCCCACGCCAGTGACACAGCGGGCTGGCAGGCCTTCTTCAGCTTCTCTTGCTTCCTGACGCTGCCCCTGACCCTGGTCCCTCTCCTGCTGCTCACAGCTCTGTCCTGTGGGATCCACACCCTGGTGCTGGGGATCACCATCGCCCAAAGGCACCAGGACAGCCTGCATGGAACCATACTGCTCAGACAGGTAAAGGAGAGGTGGATGTGGGCAGAGATTGGAATGGGGTGGGTGGAAACAAAGGTGGGCAAAAAGGGAAGGGGTGATGGTATGAGTGAGGGGATAGGTGAGTGCACCGCTAAATCAATGGTGTACATTTAATTAGGAAAGTGATACATTTACACTATTCTCAGTGAACATATGAGTCCCACTGAACTGGTGTTAAAATAACACTTTTGAAAGTGTTAAAGATGTAACTCTATTGCAGTGTTCCACATTCAACTCTTAAAGTGTTACAATGAACTTGATTGTGGTGTTTTCATAACTCTACTGTAGAGTAATATGCAACACCTACAGTGTAAAACATAACACTTGATTTAGAGTAAAATTGACTTACATTGCTTAGTGCTGACGCTGTTACACTTTCTCAGTGTACAAACTTAACACCTGTAGTGTTAGAGTAAATCATTTTGGGGTGTTGTTTTAACACTATATGGTGTATAGCCTAATATTTCCCAGGATGCCTTTTCTTTTTGAGTGAATTGTAGAGTTACTACCCATGACTGTATTTGTTAGTGACAGAGACATGGTTATTGCATTCTTTCATTTCATTTTAAAGGTATGTGGCTTTCACCATCATTATGCCATCAATGACAATACAATACTTATACGATTAAGACTTACATTGATGGCCTAGTTTCATCCTAACACAGTGGTGTTTGGAAACACCTGGTTTACAGGCCACATCAGGCCTGCAAGTCACATTATGCTGGCTTGCAAAGTGATGTGTAATACCTACTGGAATCCAGCCAGTGTTAGGATATCCAACAGTTGGAATTTTTATTCACCCGCAACCTGCATTCAGAATGACTGTCAGGGTTAGGGAAGTTGATAAGAAGACTACCTAAACCATTCAAACTGGAACAATTCAGTAATGGGTGCAATAAATCTAACTAACTGATTGGATTAGTTTAGGAAAATGTATGTTATTTATCTTTGTGTAGCGTAAGATTAATCAATCAAAAACACAGATATTAAAAATAATCCAAAAAAAGAACACTGAGGGTCTTTTACACCACTGAGTGTTAATTTCACTCTTACAACAGGACCCTGAACAGCTTCAACCCCCAAGCCATAAGACTGCTAAATAGTAATAGTTAACCAATAGCTACCCGGACTAACTGCATCAAACTATTTTTGACTCATCACATACGCTGCTGTTACTGTTTATTATCTATCCTGTTGCCTAGTCACTTTATCCCTACCTTGTACCCCTGCACATCGACTCGTTACTCATTGTGTATTTATTCCTTGTGTTATTATTTTTCTATTTTTCTATTATTTATTTATTTCTCTGCATTGTTGGGAAGGGCCCGTAAGTAAGCATTTCACTGTTGGCCTACAACTGTTGTTTCCGAAGCATGTGACAAATACAATTTAATTTTATTTTATCTAACTCCTGAATCAACACTAGAAATGTTACACTGAAAAATCAACACTGGACAATTTGCTGTGTGGGAAAGAGGACTGGCAGGTGAGATAGGGAATGACACAGGTGAGAAGACCTGAAACATCACACACACTCCAAACTCAGCTAATCACCATTAAGTTGCCTTTGTGTGCCAGGTTATGCAAGCCAGCTGTGCAGGGACCTGTGGGACACCCTTCGAGCTGAGTGTAATTTTGGAAGATTGTTGTTGAACCTGCTCACTGTACTCAGTGAGAGTTGTCACTTAGGAACGCAACGCTCCCACTGCACCCCTCACAACCTCAGTCAGTCAGGACTTAGTTTTCAGCAGCATGTTGATATGTTCATCCCTTCCCCCATTTGCCCCTCTCCCCCAGCTCCTGGCTAACTGGGTGTTGTACCTGTGTGTGGTCACCGTGGGCGTGATATCATACTACATGGCCGACAGGAAGTACCGAACGGCCTTCCTGGAGGCGCGCCAGTCCCTGGAGGTCAAACTCACCCTGGAGGAGCAGAGCACCCAGCAGGTAGGTGTGTGTGTGTGTGTGTGTGTGTGTGTGGGCATCTGCATCCTTGTGTTTATGTGTATGTGTGTGCCCTGATGCCCGAGTGCCCTGTTACCGGTGTGCTGTCACCTCTAGCTGTTAACAGTGTGCTGTCACCTCTAGCTGTTACCGGTGTGCTGTTACCTCTAGCTGTTAGCAGTGTGCTGTCACCTCTAGTTGTTAGCAGTGTGCTGTCAACTCTAGTTGTTAGCAGTGTGCTGTCACCTCTAGCTGTTACCGGTGTGCTGTTACCTCTAGCTGTTAGCAGTGTGCTGTCACCTCTAGTTGTTAGCAGTGTGCTGTCAACTCTAGTTGTTAGCAGTGTGCTGTCAACTCTAGCTGTTAACAGTGTGCGGTCAACTCTAGCTGTTAGCAGTGTGCTGTCACCTCTAGCTGTTAGCAGTGTGCTGTCAACTCTAGCTGTTAACAGTGTGCTGTCAACTCTAGCTGTTAACAGTGTGCTGTCAACTCTAGCTGTTAACAGTGTGCTGTCAACTCTAGCTGTTAACAGTGTGCTGTCAACTCTAGCTGTTAACAGTGTGCTGTCAACTCTAGCTGTTAACAGTGTGCTGTCAACTCTAGCTGTTAACAGTGTGCTGGATAACCCAGCACTGCTCTAATTACAGTGTGTTGTCTCTGGCTCTGGGCTAATGGGCTAATTAGACAGACTGTTGTTATCTTTACAGTAGAGGCATTGTTAGGGAGGTGCAACAGTTGGATGCTTTAAGTTGGTCACATACATTCTGAGGTATGCAGAGGTGTGGGACCAGGGCTAATGTCTCTTTCCTCTCTCTTTCCATCACTTCCCTCTTTCTTTCTTCTCTTGCCTTTTCCTCTCTCCCTTTTCTCCTTTCCATTCTCTGTCATCTCCCACTTCTCTCTCCTCCATCTCCTGTCCCCTCACACAATCCCCTCTGTCATTACTGTCAAATTAACTGAGTCGACCCTAATTCACTGCAGCTGATGAGCCAATTATTATTGAGTCCTTTCCATCCTCTATCCTCTGTTATGCTTTTCCCTGACTGCTACTATTTGTAGAGCAAACAGTATGGGCCCTGGAGAGAGAGAGAGAGAGAGCGAGACAGAGGGAGAGAGAAAGAGATAAGTTAGAAAGACAGAATTCCCAGAGTGCCAAAGAGGCAGTGTAGGCTTCTGGGAGACGGGTGCATCCAGCCAATCAGAACACATCTGACTGCTTCACATTGCCATGACGACGCAGCCCTGAGAGGATGCTCACAGAAATTATACTCCTGTCTCACACATGCAGTACGCAAAGTGCGCAGGCACACACACGTCTGTCTCTGTCTCTGTGTGTGCAGGAGGAGTTGTTGCTGTCCATCTTGCCCAAACACATAGCAGAAGAGATGCTGGAGGGCATGAAGAAACAGGCTAACCAGAACGAAGTACAGCAGCAGCAGTTCAACACCATGTACATGTACCGCCATGAGAACGTCAGGTTCGACAATGTTAATATAACGTAATGCCAACGTGAAGATGTGCTATTGTTCAGAAATACTCATGACAATAATCTGTACTCCAACACATGGATATTGAGTGAACCTATTAAGCAATTTTGTTTTCTCGGCCTCCCCCTTTCTCTCCCCCTCTCTCTCCCTCTCTTACAGTATCCTATTTGCTGATATAGTGGGTTTTACCCAGCTCTCCTCATTGTGTAGTGCACAGGAGCTGGTCAAGTTGCTCAACGAACTGTTCGCCCGCTTTGACAAGCTAGCTGCTGTGAGTCTCTCTCTATACCAGGGATCATCAACTACAGTGCCTTCGGAAAGTATTCAGACCCCTTGACTTTTTCCACATTTTGTTAGGTTACAACCTTATTCTAAAATTTAATAAATAGTTTTTTCCCCTCATCAATCTACACACAATACCCCATAATGACAAAGAAAAAACAGGGTTTTAGAATTTTTTGCAAATTCATTAAATATAAAAATAAATTACATAAGTATTCAGACCCTTTACTCAGTACTTTGCTGAATCACCTTGGGCAGTGATTACAGCCTCGAGTCTTCTTGGGTATGATGCTACAAGCTAGGCATACCTGTGTTTGGGGAGTTTCTCCCATTATTCTCTGCAGATCCTCTCAAGCTCTGTGAGGTTGGATGGGGAGCATTGCTGCACTGCTATTTTCAAGGCCCCTCCAGAGGTGTTCAATCGGGTTCAAGTCCGGGCTTTGGCTGGGCCACTCAAGGACATTCAGATACTTGTCCCAAAGCCCCTCCTGCGTTGTCTTGGCTGTGTGCTTAGGGTCGTTGTCCTGTTTGAAGGTGAACCTTCGCCCCAGTCTGAGGTCCTGAACGCTCTGGTGCAGGTTTTCATCAAGGATCTCTCAGTACTTTGCTCCGTTCATCTTTCCCTCGATATTGACTAGTCTTCCAGTCCCTGCCGCTGAAAAACATCCCCACAACTGCTACCACCATGCTTCACCTTAAGGATGGTGCCAGGTTTCCTCCAAACGTGACTCTTGGCATTCAGGCCAAAGAGTTCAATCTTGGTTTCATCAGACCAGAGAATCTTCTTTCTCATGGTCTGAGAGTCTTTAGGTGCCTTTTGGCAAACTCCAAGCGGGCTGTCATGTGCCTTTTACTGAGGAGTGGCTTCCATCTGGCCACTCTACCATAAAGGCCTGATTGGTGGAGTGCTGCAGAGATGGTTGGCCTTCTGGAAGGTTCTCCCATCTCCACAGAGGAACTCTAGAGCTCTGTCAGAGTGACCATCGGGTTCTTGGTCACCTCCCTGACCAAGGCCCCTTCTCCCCCGATTGCTCAGTTTGGCCGGGCGGCCAGCTCTAGGAAGAGTCTTGGTGATGAATGATGAGGCCACTGTGTTCTTGGGGACCTTCAATGCTGCAGACATTTGTTGGTACCCTTCCCCAGATCTGTGCCTCGACACAATCCTGTCTCGGAGCGCTACGAACAATTCCATCAACCTCATGGCTTGGTTTTTGCTCTGACATGCACTGTCAACTGTGGGACCTTATATAGACGGGTGTGTGCCTTTCCAAATCATGTCCAATCAATTGAATATACCACAGGTGGACTCCAATCAAGTTGTAGAAACATCTCAAGGATGATCAATGGAAACAGGATTCATCTGACCTCAATTTTGTGTCTCATAGCAAAGGCTCTGAATACTTATGTAAATAAGGTATTTCTGTTTTTTATTTTTTATTAATTTGCAAAAAAAAAGCCTGTTTTCACTTTGTCATTATGGGGTATTGTGTGTAGATTGCTGAGGATTGTTTTTTATTTGATCAATTTTAGAATAAGGCTTTAACGTAACAAAATGTGGAAAAACTAAAGGGGTCTGAATACTTTCCAAAGGCACTGTCAATTCAGCCACGGTCCAATTTTTTCTTGAGCGGATGGTCGGGGAGCCGGAGCATAATTACAAATTATTTGTAAATTGAAAATTGACCGTAAGAAGTCCAAACAGATTTAATATTTGACTAAACCATAATCAATTCAAATTATTACATTTGTGTACGATCACGTGTCTTCTCTATAGGGAATACTTGGGAACAGATTTCCTAAATTAAAATCACTTGGAGTAGATTTCCTGGTGTTTGTACAGTCTTTTATGTCCAACAATAAAATTATTATAAAAAAGTAATTAATTTTCTTTGCTCAGAAAACTTGGGGGGCCAAATAAAAACACCCACTGGCCAAATTTGGCCTGCGGGCCGCCAGTTGGAGACCCTGCTCTATACCTTGCTTTGTTTCTTCATGGTCGTGTTTCTGTCTCCTTGTGTTGTTCGCTCTTTATCTCTCACAACAATACGTTATCTTAGGTGTCTTTCACATTCATCCGACTCACCTATGTCTTCTTTAAGGAAACCTCTGCTGTCTTTAAAATACACTGTTTATTTCTCTCACAAACACACACAACTCATAACATACTGACATTCATATCATGTCTGTCATTGTGTCTCTCCTCTCCTCTCTCTACTCTCTCTCTATCTCCACCCTCCCTCCCTCCATACAGCAACACCATCAGCTGCGTATCAAGATCCTGGGAGACTGTTACTACTGTATCTGTGGCCTGCCTGATTACCGTGATGACCACGCAGCCTGCTCCATCATGATGGGCCTGGCCATGGTGGAGGCCATCTCGTAAGCGAGGGGAAGGAGGAGAGGAAGGAAAAGGAGGAGGAAGGGGGGGGGGAGAAGAAGGGTAGGATAGGTGGGAGAAGAGGGTGGAAGAGTGAGCTTGAGGGGTGTATAATTTAGAAAAGGATAGCATTTACAAAAACTGAATTGAATTGACCCCTTTTCCTTCCAACCTCAGGTATGTGCGTGAGAAGACTAAGACAGAGGTTGACATGCGTGTGGGGGTGCACACAGGCACTGTGCTGGGAGGGGTGCTGGGACAGAGGAGGTGGCAGTTTGATGTCTGGTCCACTGATGTCACTGTGGCCAACAAGATGGAGTCAGGAGGGATACCTGGGTAAGAAACGTACAGTAAGACCATTGGCCAGGGAGAGGTCACTAGCAATGTCTCTGAGTGTCACTTACGGTGCCAAGAGGTTACATAGGCAGTGTGTGTCTGTGTGTGTGCGTGTTCTCCAGGCGTGTCCACATCTCCCAGAGCACCATGGAGTGTCTGCACGGAGAGTTTGACCTGGAGCCGGGGAACGGAGGGGAGAGGTGTGAGTACCTGCTGGAGAAAGGCATAGATACCTACCTGGTGCTGTTCTCCAAGGAAACCACCCAGGTCAATGGACTCAACGGGGTGGTAAGGGATGACCTCTCTCTGTCTGGCCTGGTTCTGTAAATTAAATGTTTAATATTCCTCTCTCTCAGTCTGACCTGGTTCTGTAAATTAAATGTTTTATATTCCTCTCTCTCTGTCTCTCCCCACTCCTCATTTTTCAGAATGGAAACTCTCCCCAGTTGATTAACACCACAGAGACCAATGGGAGCATCGGTTCGGTCCGGGCCACACCCACAGAGCGCAAACAGGAAGCAAAAACACAAGTACACCTAACCCCTAACTTGATTAGATTTGACTAATTGTATGAATTTCACTACGAGCCTATCCATGAACTCTGACCTGTGTTGCCTAGGTGACGAGCCCTCAGCATCAGATAAAAAAGAAAGTGGATGCCAGGGAGAGTGAACAGGAGCTGAACAGACTACTGCACCTGGAACTGCTAGAGAGAGAGGACGAAGAGACGTAAGAGGAGGAGGAGAAAGGGAAAGAGAGAATAGGATGGGGGGACAAAGCAAAGAGGGAAAAGTATATACTCATCCATATAATCTCTCTTTTTATCTCTCACTCTTTCTATCTCTCTCTCTTTCCATCAGTGCGAGGGAGCGTCGGACCAACCCTGTGTCCCTGCAGTTTGTGGATGGGGAGTTGGAGGGTCGTTACTCTGCAGAGAAGGAAAGACAGAGTGGTGTAGCTTTCTGCTGCAGCTGCCTGGTCCTCTTTTTCACTGCAGGCATGGAGGTCCTCATAGACCCAATGTGAGTTCACACATTATATTCAACACAAAACATTCAATATACTGTACTACAACATATAACATGCAACATACAACTTGCAAAATGTAACATACCACATGCTAAACACATGACCCTGCTAGTATGTGTGGCTCTGTTTGACAGGCTGGTAGTGAACTATGTGACCCTGGCGATTGGAGAGGTGTTGTTGCTCATTCTCACTATCTGCTCCATGGCTGCCGTCTTCCCTCGTGTGAGTCTCCTCCTCTGATGATGATAATGATGGAGGTGGTGATGATGATGGCGGTGATGATGGTGATTATAATCATGTTTGTGTGTGTCTGTGTAAAAGATGTTCTCGAAGAGGCTTGTGTCGTTCTCGATGTGGATCGATCGAACCCGTTGGGCACGGAACACCTGGGCCATGGCAGCCATCTTTGTTTTAACCATGGCCGAGATTGCCGATATGGTGAGCCTATTTTCTCAGCTTGTGTGTGTTCTTACCTTGTAGCTATCATACTCTTCAGTGACTTCTAAACTGCATGTGTTTGAGTACCTATCCGGTTGTGACGAGATGGAGTACAGCTACGACCGGAAGTGATTTTTTGTAGCTGGTTAGGAGAGCATTTTAGCTAACCCTATCCCTAACCCTTTTCCTAACCTTAACCAGCTATGTTAATTGTCCTAACCTGCTGCGTAAGTTCTCCTAACCTGCTACAAAAAATCACTTTCAGTCGCAGCTGTATACCACCAGAGAGGAAGCGGCAAAGCGACAGGTTTCCTTCTCACCAAAATCTGTCCAAAATAAGCCCAATGCGTTTCTATGGGCTTATTTTGGACTTAAGCTTGTCGCCTGCCTTCCCGCCTTTGGGACAACGACTCCCATTGTTAGGGCGGAGACATGAGCATCTCGTCATTATATACAGATTTCTTATACCACCTAGTCAAAACCTACCTATCCCCATAGGGATCCATTACAGAGAGTTAAGTGTCTGTCTCACTGCCTGCTCGCTCATTGGAAGGCCCCACAGGGACAGCCTGTTCCACACTTTACTGCTTTTTCTGCTAGGCAGGAACAGGGCTCCCAAATGTCAAGAGAGGAAAGATCAGTGGTGCAGAGATGTCTAGTGGAGTGTGGAGCATAGAGAATATGGGGCCACTGTTATTGCAATGTTGGCCAAATTATGCTTGAGTTAAAATATTGCTTTAGTTTGTTTTTGTTTAAATGTTACACTGACGTTTTTGTAACATTATATGTTAACATAGCATTAGGGGAGCTTTAGTGCATGCCATCACTGGAATATTGCCTTAATTTATCGATAGAACATTTCTCTGACGTAACCCCAACCCCTCCTGACATTGTAGCTGAGCTGTGTCCAGCCTCCATTCCTGCTCCTCAACACCAGTGCTGGCCTCAACCCAGAGTTGCTAGGCGACGGGGGTTGCGCAGAAAACCCCAAACACTACAGCTACATGGCGGTGCTTTCGCTTGTGGCGACCACCATGCTGGTGCAGGTGAGCCACCTGGTCAAGCTGGGGCTCATGCTGCTGGTCATCGTGGCAACGGGCGCCGTCAACATCTACAGCTGGAGGGACATCTACGACCTGTATGACTTCATACGATTCACCAGCTACAGGTGAGGAACTATAATCCCTCAAGTGGTGCTAAAAACATGTACTTACATGGTAGTTACATTGGCAGGTAAAGTGGAAAGCTGTGGATACTCAATATGTTCTCTCTCCCTCTCTCGTCTTCAGGATGTCTATAGTCCCTTCCAAGTACCTGATGACAGTGATGATCATTATCATGATGATCTGCTTCTACTACTTTGCCAGACATGTGAGTTACCTCCTCCAGAACATTCTCACAATCACACCTCCGATTCAAATTGAGTCAGACCTCAATGAGCATCAGCCTCTAACTCTGAAATAATACAAACTGAGAAAGACTTGATGTTGTTACTGATTCCCCTGACAGCACTAGTCTGTATGAGCTTGCTTAAAACACTCTCTCTCTCTCTTTCTTTCACTCCACCCTCCTCATTTTCCTAGGTGGAGAGGCAGTCACGGAAGCTTTTCCTGTGGAAGATTGAGGTGCATGACCAGAAGGAGAAGGTGTTTGAGATGAGGCGCTGGAATGAAGCGCTGGTCACCAACATGCTGCCTGAACATGTCGCCAAACACTTCCTGGGTTCTAAGAAGAGAGACGAGGTGAGAGAGGGAAGGGGGAATAGAGAGAGGGACGATTAAAATACAAAGAAGGGAGAGAGACTCTCAAAGAAAGGGCATAAAAAGATACAGGAAATTGTAAATGTATGGATGTTTTTCTTACCCATCAATTTTGTTTCTCCTCTGTAGGAGCTGTACAGCCAGTCATATGATGAGATAGGAGTGATGTTTGCCTCCATCCCCAACTTCTCAGACTTCTACACAGAGGAGGGCATCAACAACGGGGGCATAGAGTGTCTGAGGATCCTCAATGAGATCATCTCTGACTTCGACAGTGTGAGTCATCTAAACTGTGTGTGTGTGTGTGTGTGTGTGTGTGTGTGTGTGTGTGTGTGTGTGTGTGCGTGTGTGCGTGTGTGTGTGTGTGTGTGTGTGTTGTGTGTGAGTCTTTTAGTACAGTAACAGAATAATTAATTTCCTTGCTCTGCCCCTGCCAGCTGTTGGACAGGAATGAGTTCCGCTTCATCACTAAGATTAAGACCATAGGAAGCACCTACATGGCTGCGTCTGGAGTCACACCCGAGAGCAACACCAACGGATACTGCAACCGCCCGGTAACCACAGCAACTGACAACACAGAATACAGCATCAAGCTCAATGCATATCAGCATGACTAATGGTGTTGATGATGATGACGATGATGATTGTGATGATGATCATGATGAAGGCTCTATTGCTCCCCTACAGATAGAGGAACAGTCATTATTAGAACGTTGGCAGCACTTAGCTGACCTGGCAGACTTTGCTCTGGCCATGAAGGTCACTCTCAACAAACTCAACGATCAGTCCTTCAACAACTTCATGCTACGCATCGGTAAGTGTGTGTGTGTGTGTGTGTGTGTGTGTGTGTGTGTGTGTTTGATTGACATCTCTTCCTCTTAGGTCTGAATAAGGGCTCGGTGTTGGCTGGAGTGATCGGTGCTCGTAAACCTCATTATGACATCTGGGGCAACACAGTCAACGTAGCCAGCAGAATGGAGTCTACTGGGGTGATGGGCAACATCCAGGTAACACACATTCTCACATTTCCTCACCTGTCTACTACCTTCCTCACTTTTCCCCCTCAGTCTTTTCCAATCTTCTCCTCTCTTTTATCTTGATAGACAGTTTTCATTCTACGCCCTATAATGTCCCATTTTTATCTGTCATTACCCTATGATGTGCTGCCCCCAGGTGGTGGAGGACTGCTATGACATCCTAAAGGAGTACGGATTCCGCTTCGTCAGGAGAGGCCCCATCTTTGTCAAGGGGAAGGGGGAGCTACTAACCTTCTTCATGAAAGGGAAAGACAAAACTAGTAGCAATGGCACTGGTCCCACCACTACTACTACCCTTCCTCACCAAGTAGTGGACCATTCCTGATCCTGACCCACACCTGCTGAAACATTTACATTTACATTTACATAATTTAGCAGACGCTCTTATCCAGAGCGACTTACAAATTGGGTCATTCAACTTATGATAGCCAGTGGGACAACCACTTTTTTTTTTTTTTTTTTTTTTGGGGTGGGTGGGGGGGGGGGGGGGTAGAAGGATTACATTATATTATTACAGGTATTCCTTAAAGAGGTAGGGTTTCAAGTGTCTCCGGAAGGTGGTCAGTGACTCCGCTGTCCTGGCGTCGTGGGGGAGCTTGTTCCACTATTGGGGTGCCAGAGCAGCAAATAGCTTTGACTGGGCTGAGCGGGAACTGTGCTTCCGTAGAGGTAGGGGGGCTAGCAGGCCAGAGGTGGATGAACGTAGTGCCCTCGTTTGGGTGTAGGGTCTGATCAGAGCCTGAAGGTAAGGAGGTGCCGTTCCCCTCACAGCTCCGTAGGCAAGCACCATGGTCTTGTAGTAGATGCGAGCCTCAACTGGAAGCCAGTGGAGTGTGCGGAGGAGCGGGGTGACATGAGAGAACTTGGGAAGGTCGAACAACCAGACAGGCTGCAGCGTTCTGGATAAGTTGTAGGGGTTTAATGGCACAGGCAGGGAGCCCAGCCAACAGCGAGTTACAGTAATCCAGACGGGAGATGACAAGTGCCTGGATTAGGACCTGTGCCGCTTTCTGTGTAAGATAGGGTCGTACTGTGCGAATGTTGTAGAGCATGAACCTGCAGGATCGGGTCACCGCTTTGATGTTAGCGGAGAACGACAGGGTGTTGTCCAGGGTCACGCCAAGGTTCTTTGCACTCTGGGAGGAGGACACAATGGAGTTGTCAACCGTGATGGCGAGATCATGGAGCGGGCAGTCCTTCCCCGGGAGGAAGAGCAGCTCCGTCTTGCCGAGGTTCAGCTTGAGGTGGTGATCCGACATCCACACTGATATGTCTGCCAGACATGCAGAGATGCGATTCGCCACCTGGTTATCAGAAGGGGGAAAGGAGAAAATTAATTGTGTGTCGTCTGCGTAGCAATGATAGGAGAGACCATGTGAGGATATGACAGAGCCAAGTGACTTGGTGTATAGAGAGAATAGGAGAGGGCCTAGAACTGAGCCCTGGGGGACACCAGTGGTGAGAGCACGTGGTGCGGAGACAGATTCTCGCCACGCCACCTGGTAGGAGCGACTTGTCAGATAGGACGCAATCCAAGAGTGAGCAGCTCCGGAGATGCCCAACTCGGAGAGGGTGGAAAGGAGGATCTGATGATTCACAGTATCAAAGGCAGCGGATAGGTCTAGAAGGATAAGAGCAGAGGAGAGAGAGTTAGCTTTAGCAGTGCGGAGAGCCTCCGTGACACAGAGAAGAGTAGTCTCAGTTGAATGACCAGTCTTGAAGGTCATTCTGAGAGAGATAGCAGGAGAGTTGGCTAGAGACGGCACGCTCAAGAGTTTTGGAGAGAAAAGAAAGAAGGGATACTAGTCTGTAGTTGTTGACATCGGAGGGATCGAATTTAGGTTTTTTGAGGAGGGGTGCAACTCTCGCTCTCTTGAAGACGGATGGGACATGGCCAGCGGTCAAGGATGAGTGGATGAGCGAGGTGAGATAAGGGAGAAGGTCTCCGGAAATGGTCTGGAGAAGAGAGGAGGGGATAGGGTCAAGCGGGCAGGTTGTTGGGCGGCCGGCCGTCACAAGTCGCAAGATTTCATCTGGAGAGAGAGGGGAGAAAGAAGTCAAAGCATAGGGTAAGGCAGTGTGAGCAGGACCAGCGGTGTCATTTGACTTAATAAATGAGGATCGGATGTCGTCAACCTTCTTTTCAAAATGGTTGACGAAGTCATCCACAGAGAGGGAGGAGGGAGGGGGAGGAGGAGGAGGATTCAGCAGGGAGGAGAAGGTGGCAAAGAGCTTCCTAGGGTTAGAGGCAGAGGCTTGAAATGTAGAGTGGTAGAAAGTGGCTTTAGCAGCGGAAACAGAGGAAGAGAATGTAGAGAGGAGGGAGTGAAAAGATGACAGGTCCGCAGGGAGTCTAGTTTTCCATTTCCGCTCGGCTGCCCGGAGCCCTCTTCTGTGAGCTCGCAATGAGTCGTCAAGCCACGGAGCAGGAGGGGAGGACCGAGCCGGCCGGGAAGATAGGGGACATAGAGAGTCAAAAGATGCAGAAAGGGAGGAGAGGAGGGTTGAGGAGGCAGAATCAGGAGATCGGAGGGAGAAGGATTTAGCAGAGGGAAGAGATGATAGGATGGAAGAGGAGAGAGTAGCGGGAGAGAGAGAGCGAAGGTTGCGACGGCACATTACCATCTGAGTATGGGCAGAGTGAGTAGTGTTGGAGGAGAGCGAGAGAGAAAAGGATACAAAGTAGTGGTCGGAGACTTGGAGGGGAGTTGCAGTGAGATTAGTAGAAGAACAGCATCTAGTAAAGATGAGGTCAAGCGTATTGCCTGCCTTGTGAATAGGGGGGGACGGTGAGAGGGTGAGGTCAAAAGAGGAAAGGAGTGGAAAGAAGGAGGCAGAGAGAAATGAGTCAAAGGCAGACGTAGGGAGGTTAAAGTCACCCAGAACTGTGAGGGGTGAGCCATCCTCAGGAAAGGAATTTATCAAGACAGTAGAGATTACACATGGATTCATCATTCTTATGTAACATACTCTAGACATGCTATGACAGATCAAACTTAAATATCATAGGCAAGTGTACAGTTAATGCATAGGCAAGCATACTGTCTCTACAGACTAAGAAAAACAAAAACACACTCACTTTTGTTCTCCAGTAGTCGCTTCTGGATTCTATGGTAACTGATAGTTCAAGTGAAAAATATGAAATAATGTACAAGATATGAGCTTCTGTGTATATATTCAGATATAGGCAACTACTTCATAGAACAATATATATCACTACACCCTGTTATGACATCAACTAAACTCACTAGTGTGACAGTTTGCCTTGTGTATGATTATCCTCTATGTTCTTTTATTGTTTTTAAACAGTTGAGCTCAGGTTTTGTACTATAATGACGCTTGAAGGATTTTGTATTTATAATGTGTTGATAAAAAAAAAAATCATTAACTTTTATGTGGTCTGTGTGTATTTGAAACTACTACAGTACAGTATTTCTGCAATCCTCAGCACGGTGAAATGACCGTGAGTTGCAGTATTATTTCTGGCCTCTGGGGGTAATTGTTGCTCCATGTATGAATTTTGCATCCCATTGAAAATCTGTCAGAGACTGTGCATATTTCCCCTCGAAGCACTATGCCTTGCAGATGGGTACTATGAGACAGTATGAGGATGTGACTATTTTTCACCCCATTGTAAAGCTCTCAAACATTCAGTTCAGATTCAAATTTAAGAGGAAGACGTGTAACAGATCCACAGAGAAGCAAGAGAGGACTAAAACTGATGTATGTCGTATTACTACGCAATTCTTTCAGAATACCACATATTTCTAATTATTTTGGTTTTGGAAGCACTGCAATGTTTTACACACCGTGAGACTGTGTAGGATGGTACCAATAATTTGTTGGTGGGATGGCGTGTCGTGTACCGTTCGTTAAACCAATGTCAGAACTTAAATAACGTTAATCTTGTGGACGACATAGAAAAACGAATTAATTTGATTATCTGTCTTTGTTGTTTAAATTCAGATTTTGATTGAACGAACCGAACCGTACACGGATCGATCATCCTGGCTGTTTCCACTGAATATAAACCATAATAAAAACACTGACAATGAGTAGAACATCTCGCCACACGTATTAATTCCATGTATCTGAAGCAATTTCTGCCTGACATTTTCTCATAATGTATTTATTGTTATCATAAAAACATAATCAATATGCGAAATTGGTTCTCATGCGCCACCTATGGGTTATATAATTATACCCGGAAGCAGGGTAGTATGGGAATTTCCGGTTACGTCAGCGTGTCTGGACCAATGATGTGTGTCTGGACTCCATTAGGGGGTTGCAGCTGTTTTGAGAGAAACAACAACAAAAACGGAGCGACTGACGGGACTAGCTACCACAGAGTCAGTTCGTTCTCAGCCGGTTACGAAGGCTGAATCCTGGGAGCTAAAACCTCCTTTCCCACCCGGGGCTTCGCCGGCTTCTAACCACGGCCGCTCTCGGTGAGGAAACTCTGGCCTCCGCTTCCTTCTCCTCCGGCTCGGACACCGACGGAGCGTCGCCGCCCCCGCGGAAGAAACACCGAGCCTCGGCGGCGGAGGGAGCAGGAGAGCCCGGGGCTTCAACAGTTGCGACAGGCCTTTCTGGAGTTGTTTTGGGACTTACTACTACTTCTCCACATCTCCAAGCCACCTCTGCTATTCACTTTAACAGAACCCCTGTCAACAATCTCAGCGGCAATAACATGCAGTCAAACGGGGCAGGACAGGGACAGGATCCGGAGCTTTCCTGCCTTAACAGTGCACCTAACGGGGAGTCATCCTCGGCTGCGGGAACGCACTCCAATGGGGTTCTGACCAGCACAAACAATGGGAATAGTGTTGGAGCGGGACTGGGGTCTGGGTCCTGCGTCGCCTCCACATCCTCGGGTTCGGGCTTGGAGGTCGGCTCCATGAAAAAGAAGAAACGACTTTCGCAGTCTGAAGAAGATGTTATCCGATTAATAGGACAACATCTCGACGGGTTAGGGCTAAAGTAAGTTTACACGATGTGTCATTCGAACGAAAAGCTCCTGAAGTATACAAGCACATTAAATATTATTTATTTGTGCGTGTTTAGAGCGAAACTGCATGGTGGCAGTTGATAAAAACGGAATTCTGCGGTTGACAGACAAACATGGGGGAGGGGGTAGTTAGCTAGCAAGCTAACGTTAGTTGAAGGAGAAGGGGTCCATCTTGCACAATACAGAGTGGTAGCTAGATAGCGCAACTAACTGTTAGCTAGCCTTCGTTATGGTGTTTATTCTGATGTTTATACAGAATAAAAACACAAGACATTTCACAATTTGGTTGGCTACATTGACCTCACATCAACAACTTTTTTTCAGTGAGTAGCTAGGCTAGTTAGCTAGTTGAACTGTGCGTGTTGTGGCTTGTATAATGTTATCTAGCGATATTTTTTACACGGATTGAAATCGCATTACATCACCTTGTAATCCAGCGAAACAGCCATAATGATTTGTGGCTACAAATTACGTATATAACCATAGGACGTATTTGATCATAGCCTGTCATATGAGAGGGCCGATTAGATTTGGCCTGTTTTATTTATACTGTGGCACCATGTAGAGTAGTTTTCTGAAATGAAATATCTGCATTTAGAGGATTGCGCAGAAGTGCGTAGGGAAAACAACAATACGCTGTTTCACAGTGTCGGTTAGTTTTTTGTTCTGTTATCCCTTATTTGTCCCTTTCGATGGCTTAGGTTTTATTATTACATTGACATTTGGTTTTTACAACGGGAACGTCGGTATTATAGGAGTTTTGTGTGATACATTATTGTGAAGTAGAAAAACGGAAGGGGGCATTTTGTATCCACTCAGTGGTTCTTTTGAAACCTTTGAGTGGCGTTCGTCTTCAACGACAACAACCATTAGCTATCATATAGCCCCCTTATCATACCACTGCACTGTTACGTTTATCTTTCGAACTGCTTATGTGATCTGAGGTTATTGTCATCTTCTTTATTTGTCTGCAAATAAGTCTGTGTCACTCATGTCAACAATGTCCAGTAGTATAAATAAGGACATACAAAATCGCAATGTATAGCACTGGATGCACTTAGTCAGAGTGATATTTAACTCGTTTTATCATTATTGGTGGTAGTGGCTCGTGAAGTAGTCAGAACGGCTTCCCCACTGGGGTATGGTTTCATGGCGGCTCTTGAATTCGCGTCTAACCAACTGTTTCAGATTAGAAACGTTGGTTGAATCTAATAATAGATAGCGCAAGCTGAACCCATCGGGACTCCGCAGGAACACTATTTTGAGCCCTCCATGGCTAAATTGGCCCCTGTCACCATAATGGACTGTTAATGCAGTGTTCGATAGACCCAGACTGCTACTGCTCGCCACTGACTGTTTGCCAGTGGAACTGCCATTACACGGCCTGTTTGGGTATGTTTATATGGGGAATATATACATGCATTGTCTGCTATGGAACTGACACCCATACGTTTCAAATGTGGTATGGCAAGTGAGAACCGTGTTGGACCCAGCAGGGTGATGCTGAAAACACTGCTGCGCCAATCTCTTCTTTGATACCTGAGGATGATGTCATCGTGCCTTGGTGTCAGTACACCCTCCCTCCACTCCATTTTAGCACAGACACCTTTTCAGCACACTTATAGAGATTTACACAAAGGCACTCAGTTGTCAGGTCTGTTCTAGAATGATAACTAATGCCACTTCTCTTATTGCTGGATATGGTTTAGATGTTATGTCTGTTTTTCTCCCTCATTCTCTCCTTTGTCTGTCTGGTATAACATATCAGGTCCATTGCCTGGCTTGTTGGCCAATATTAAGGAAACATTTGCTATAAACATTTAGGCAATTAATGTTTAATCCGCCTCTGGTCAATTTGATTTTGTGCTGACATTTCAGTTCCTTTACATTCTGTACGTTCATGTCTGTCTTGTTGTTCTAATGTTCAGTTAACGTTTGCAATACACATTGAGGTAATGTTTCCCCCCTCTCTTCTCCGCAGTCAAACAGTGGACCTGCTGATGCAGGAGTCGGGCTGCAGACTGGAACATACCTCAGCCACGAAGTTCCGCAACCACGTCATGGAGGGGGAGTGGGACAAGGTGGGTCCCAGGTTACCATAGTTACACCTGCACCTATAATGCTATGCTTAACTTTAGAGCATGGTTCTGTTACTAAGTATAAGTATCTATCACATGTACAACACCAACGTTAGGCTACATATGGAGTAAATTAAACAGTGCTATTAATAAACATAGGTGCCAATCAAAAGATTGGAACTCTGTGATTTAAATATATGTACGTTCCTATTAAGGGGTCTTTTTAAGAATGTGTTATTTGATCATAAAACTAGCTCAGTTTGCTGAACTTTCTCTTCTACATTGACCCAAAATGCTCCCATTCCAAGAGCCTTGGGCTTGTAAAATCCCATAAATGTACAGATACTACTGCGCACTATCTGAACTGTAGCAACAAAATGGCTTCGCACACCATGATAATGACAATTATTGACTTCCTCCACTGAGAAAGTGTTGTTTCTGGTGGTACCTTGTAGTGGTCAACTGTTTTGATTTGTTGTTTTTGTGGAGAGAAAGTGCTGAGCCAACTATTTGTCTCCCCTGCCTCTTTCTCTTGTTTTGGTCCAGGCTGAGAATGATCTCAACGAGCTGAGAGCACTGATGCATTCTCCCAACGCTATTGTGGTAAGCCCAAACCTGACCATATAGACAGTCAGCCATGCAGTGAAAGGGTATACACAGGTTCTAGAACGGTTCTGTCCCAAACCTGACTGTTCTAGATTAGAAAGTGGGCGGCAGGTAGCCTAGCGGTTAAGAGCGTTGGGCTAGTAACCGCGAAAGGTCGCTGGTTAGAATCCTCGAGCCGACTAGGTGAAAAATCTGTCCCTTGAGCAAGCCACTTAACCCTAATTGCTCCTGTAAGTTGCTCTGGATAAGAGCGTCTGCTAAATAACTGAAATGTAAATAGAAAGTCCCCCCTTTGTGAGGCGTATCCTTTCTGACTGTGGAATTTCAAGTGTTCTGAAATGCCTTGGAGGGACTGAATGGAATGTTTACAACAGATATCCTCATACATGGGGGTATAATATCCTGCATTTAGTCATTTGCTAGTCAGATGGCAAGTGTAGGGAATGTTTCTCAATTACATTTTGCCACCACTAGTATTATTCGACAAAAGCATAGTTGTATAATCACATTGCTAGTGTTTAATGTTGGATTATTGAGTTAATCATTGATTAATTCAGTCAACTGTATATCTTGTATATTTATATATATATTTTTATATCTTATAGCCTAAAATCCATGCATATTCTGGTGGAGCCCTGAGATGGAGTTCATATGTCATTCAGCTCTTCTGCGATTGTAAATGAGGGGAGTCGCCTCTCCCATGGGTACAGCACATTCAGAAGTCAACTAAAGAACACTCAGAGGACTGCAGCTAGACTAAATTATACTTATCAGACCTAGCTAGCTCATTAGGAGACAGGATAGGCTAGATCTCAAAATGGTCTCCTGTGGCTTAGCTTCGTCTTGCACCTGTGGGGTTTTATGTTGCACTTACTAGCTGTAAGCCAAGGGCTTGTTATTGCAAATGCAATCCATTTTAACTGTAAGAGGTTGGCTATCCTATTTTATGCATGTCTAAAAACAAATAGCATTTTTTTGCCCTGCATTATAGCAAGACTGCATGCAAGATACTTTTATATACAGTGGGGAGAACAAGTATTCGATACACTGCCGATTTTGAAGGTTTTCCTACTTACAAAGCACGTAGAGGTCTGTAATTTTTATCATAGGTACACTTCAACTGTGAGAGACGGAATCTAAAACAAAAATCCAGAAAATCACATTGTATGATTTTTAAGTAATTAATTTGCATTTTATTGCATGACATAAATATTTGATACATCAGAAAAGCAGAACTTAATATTTGGTACAGAAACCTTTGTTTGCAATTACAGAGATCATACGTTTCCTGTAGGTCTTGACCAGGTTTGCACACACTGCAGCAGGGATTTTGGCCCACTCCTCCATACAGACCGTCTCCAGATCCTTCAGGATGTCGGGGCTGTTGCTGGGCATTACAGACTTTCAGCTCCCTCCAAAGATTTTCTATTGGGTTCAGGTCTGGAGACTGATTGACAGTCATCTTGAACTTCTTCCATTTTCTAATAATTGCGCCAACAGTTGTTGCCTTCTCACCAAGCTGCTTGCCTATTGTCCTGTAGCCCATCCCAGCCTTGTGCAGATCTACAATTTTATCCCTGATGTCCTTACACAGCTCTCTGGTCTTGGCCATTGTGAAGAGATTGGAGTCTGTTTGATTGAGTGTGTGGACAGGTGTCTTTTATACAGGTAACGAGTTCAAACAGGTGCAGTTAATACAGGTAATGAGTGGAGAACAGGAGGGCTTCTTAAAGAAAAACTAACAGGTCTGTGAGAGCCGGAATTCTTACTGGTTGGTAGGTGATCAAATACGTATGTCATGCAATAAAATGCAAATTAATTACTTAAAAATCATACAATGTGATTTATTGGATTTTTGTTTTAGATTCCGTCTCTCACAGTTGAAGTGTACCTATGATAAAAAGTACATGCTTTGTAAGTAGGAAAATCGGCAGTGTATCAAATATTTGTTCTCCCCACTATATAGTGTATGTGGACACCCCTTCAAATGAGTGGATTCGGCTATTTCAGCCACACCGGTTGCTGACTAGTATATAAAATAGAGCGCACAGCCATGCAATCTCCATAGACAAACATTGGCAGTAGAATGGCCTTACTGAAAAGCTCAGTGACCTTCAACGTGGCACTGTCATAGGATTCCACCTTTCCAATAAGTCAGTTGGTCAAATTTCTGCCATGCTATAGCTGCCCCGGTCAACTGTGAATGCTGTTATTGTGAAGTGGGAATGTCTAGGAGCAACAACGGCTCAGCCGCGAAGGGGTAGGCCACACAAGCTCACAGAACGGGACCGCTGAAGGTTTGTCTGTCCTTGGTTGCAACACTCACTACCGAGTTCCAGACTGCCCCTGGAAGCAACGTCAGCACAATAACTTTTCGTAGGGAGCTTCATGAAATTGGTTTCCATGGCCGAGCAGCCGCACACAAGCCTAAGATCACCATGCGCAATGCCAAGCGTCGGCTGGAGTGGTGTAAAGCTCTGAAGCATTGGAAACGCGTTCTCTGGAGTGATGAATCACTCCTCACCATCTGGCAGTCCGACGGACAGATCTGGGTTTGGCGGATGCCAGGAGAACGCTACCTGCTCGAATGCATAGTGACAACTGTAAAGTTTGGTGGAGGAGGAATAATGACCTGGGGCTGTTTTTCATGGTTCGGCCTAGGCCCCTTAGTTCCAGTGAAGGGGAAATATTAATGCTACAGCATACAATGAAATTCTAAACGATTATGTGCTTCCAACTTTGTGGCAACAGTTTGGGGAAGGCCCTTTCGTGTTTCAGCATGACAATGCCCCTGTGCTCAAAAGAAAGGTCCATACAGAAATGGTTTGTCGAGATCGTTGTGGAAGAACTTGACTGGCCTGCACAGAGCCCTGACCTCAACCCAGTCTAACACCTTTGGGATGAATTGGAACGCCGACTGTGAGCCAGGCCTAATCACCCAAAATCATTACCCGACCTCACTAATGCTCTTGTGGCTGAATGGAAGCTAGTCACCGCAGCAATGTTCCAACATCTAGTGGAAAGCCTTCACAGAAGAGTGGATGCTGTTAGAGCAGCAAAGGGGGACCAACCCCATTCCATGATTTTGGAATGAGATGTAGTGTATGTCAACCTGGAATGGCTGCTACTATGATTATGGTTGGCACTTGCCGATGGTAATTTATATGCCAGAGTCATGGTTATAATTGAAAACGTAAGACTGTGTTGGTCCTTCTCACAGGGTGTGTGTCTGTTGTGTGCACATGCTGTATGTTTTACAGTGCGTTAAGTCGTCTCTTGGGCTGTGGCAGACACTGCAGGCCCAAGATAAGACAAACTCCCTTTATTAATACCAGAAAAGTCACAACTGACCAAAATACCCAGACTGGTTAACACTCTTGTTTGTTGTCACAAGTATTAAGTTAATAAGGAAGTGGCCAGTTACAGCTGGCACAGTGAGGTCTCCGGGGTTAAGCCAACGCCCACCACGTGTGCCCAAGGCCAACCATAGGCGCCGGTTCACTCTCACCATGGCAATGCTGCCTGTCACACAAACGATGTTGGTATGAGTGCCTGCCCCCTTTGGAGCACAGGATTAGTCGTTGGGGGGTTGTGTTTTGAATCTATCAACCCCCCCTCCCACTTATTTTCTCAAATTTCCTCGCCCCTCTGTCTTCATCTCCCGCTCTCCACCTTTCTCTTCTCCATCTATCTCTACCCCTTTCCTTGCCTCCCTCTCTCTGTAGCGTATGAAGTTCCTGCTCCTGCAGCAGAAGTATCTGGAGTACCTGGAGGACGGGAAGGTTCTCGAGGCGCTGCAGGTGCTCAGGGGAGAGCTCACTCCGCTCAAGTATAACACGGACCGCATCCATGTTCTCAGCGGGTACGTCATTACATATCAATCACTTTATTAATCTAGCTAGCCTAATAAAGATGTCACTCAACACACTTCCCCCCCACACAGTCAGTATGCCATTGTAGTCCCTTCCGATCATATCAATCAACTATCTGATCAATCAAGCACAAACATCATCCACATATTCAGTGGGTTCGTCTATTACTTGATTAACATAAGTCAAGTAGTCAACACAAGTCAATCATCAACTGTTATGCTGTCAAGTACAACTTGGACATTATCCAAATATTCAGCATGTAAAGAAAACAATCATGCCAACTGCTGCATACTCAGTAGGTATATCAGTTATTGAAAACATGTATATTATAAGGACAAACTAACAACCAACTTTGCATCAGTGGTTGATCAGTCGTCACATTGTCCTAGTTCGATCTGTGTCTTTGGATTAATAACCAGGTTATACAGTGTTATTACAGTAAATACAGGTTAATAATACTGTTATTACAGGTCATGCATAACAGTGATTTATCCAGAGGTGTGTGTTGTAGGCTGACTCGTGTTGTGTTGTGTAGGTATCTGATGTGTAGCCATGCAGAGGACCTGCGTGCCAAGGCTGAGTGGGAGGGCAAAGGCACAAACTCCCGCTGCCGACTACTAGACAAGCTACAGAGTGAGAACACTGAGCACACACATTTTAAATACTGCCAATAACTGCTGAAACGGAGCAGACTACCTAGCCAGTTGTTTTGCTCTACTCTTAGGCAGGCCTGTAATCTGAAAGCCGCATACCATAGGCCTATGTATGTACTGTACGTGGCCCAGACTGCCAAATATAACACCACTAACTTGCATTTGTATCCCAGGCTGTCCAAGCGTGACATGAGGGGCTGGTATTGAAGGAACTTTTCAGAAAAGGCCTGCTCCATGTAACAATGGAATGAGCAGCCCACTTCCCAAATCAGCTTCTCCCTCTTGCCTCCCCCATAACAACAGTATCTGACTTATTCGGTATTCAAGAAAACACATTATCATCATCAAATCAGGCTCTTCTGACGAGAATGTTTGTGTACAGTGCCATGAGAAAATATTCACACCCTTTGATTTACAAGGTGGGGTTAAAATGTATTTAATTGTCATTGTTTTTGTCAACTATCTACACAATCATTTGATAATAAAACACTAATATATCTTGATTACATAAGTATTCAACCCCCTGAGTCAATACATGTTAGAATCACCTTGGCACCGATTTACAGCTGCAAGTCTTTCTGGGTAGGTTTCTCTTAAGAGCTTTCCACACCTGGATTGTGCAACATTTGCCCATTTATTATTTTCAAAATCGGTCAAATTGGTTGTTGATCATTTCTAGACAACCTTTTAAAGTGTTGCCGTAGATCTTTAAGTAGATTGAAGTCAAAACTGTAACTCTGCCACTTGGGAACATTCACTGTCTTCTTGGTATGCAACTCCAGTGTAGATTTGGACTTGTTTTAGTTTATTGTCCTGATGAAAGGTGAATTCATCTCCCAGTGTCTGGTGGAAAGCAGACTGAACCAGGTTTTCCTCTAGGATTTTGCCTGTGCTTAGCTCCATTCTGTTTATTTTTTTTATCCTGAAAAACTCTCCAGTCCTTAACAATTAATATTTTTGGGGCAAATCCAATAAAACACAACACTTTGTATTCAGGACAAAAAGTGAATTGCTTTGCCACATTTGTTGCAGTTTTACTTTAGTGCCTTGTTGCAAACAGAATGTATGTTTTGGAATATTTGTATTCAGTATAGGCTTAGTTTTTTTCACTCTGTCAATTAGCTTAGTATTGTGGAGTAATAACTATGTTGTTGATTCCTCAGTTTTCTCCTATCAAATCCATTAAACTCTAACTGTTTTAAAGTCACCATTGGCTTCATGGCGAAATCCCTGAGCGGTTTCCGTCCTCTCCGCCAACTGAGTTAGGAAAGAGGGCCTGTATCTTTTGTAGTGACTTGGTGTATTGATACACCATCCAAAGTGTAGTTAATAACTTCAATGTCTGCTTTTTTTTCTTATTTTTTCCCAGAATCTAACAATAGGAAACCTTTGAGGCATTGGAAAACCTCCCTGGTCTTTGTGGTTGAATCTGTGTTTGAAATTCACTGCTCAACTTGGGGACCTTACAGATAATTGTATGTGTGGGGTACAGAGATGAAGTAGTCATTCAAAAATCATGTTAAACACTTATTGCACACAGAGTGAGTCCATGTAACCTTTTAAACCACATTTTTACTCCTGAACTTATTTAGGCCTGCCATAACAGAGGTTGAATACTTATTGACTCAAAACATTTCATTTTGTTAATTTTTGATTAATTTGTATACAAAAAATTGAAAAACATCATTCCACTTTGACTTTATGGGGTAGTCCAGTGCTGCTGTAGCTACATCCGTCTGATACTGAGGAGTGTTGTCTTTGATGTAGGATGAGATGTTCCACACACACAATACTTTTTTACATTTAATTTAGCTAGGCAAGTCAGTTAAGAACAAATTCTTATTTACAATGACGGCTTACCTCGGCCAAACCCTCCCCTAACCCGGATGACGCTGGGCCAATTGTGTGCCGCCCTATGAGACTCCCGATCACGGCCGGATGTGATACAGCCCGGGATCGAACCAGGGTCTGTAGTGATGCCTCTAGCACTGCGATGCAGTGCCTTAGGCCACTCGGGAGCCTAAATACATACTCAGCAAAAAAAGAAACGTCCTCTCACTGTAAACGGTGTTTATTTCCAGTAAACTTAACGTGTAAATATTTGTATTAACATACGATTCAACAACTGAGACATAAACTGAACAAGTTCCACAGACGTGACTAACAGAAATGGAAAAATGTGTCCCAAAGGGGGGGTCAAAAGTAACAGTCAGTATCTGGTGAGGCCACCAACTGCATTAAGTACTGCAGTGCATCTCCTCATGGACTGCACCATATTTGCCAGTTCTTGCTGTGAGATATTACCCCACTCTTCCACCAAGGCACCTGCAAGTTCCCAGACAATTCTGGGGGGAATGGCCCTAGCCCTAGCCCTCACCCTCCGATCCAACAGGTCCCAGACGTGCTCAATGGGATTGAGATCCGGGCTCTTTGCTGGCCATGGCAGAACACTGACATTCCTGTCTTGCAGGAAATCACGCACAGAACGAGCAGTATGGCTGGTGGCATTGTCATGCTGGAGGGTCATGTCAGGATGAACCTGCAGGAAGGGTACCACATGAGGGAGGAGGATGTCTTCCCTGTAACGCACAGCATTGAGATTGCCTGCAATGACAACAAGCTCAGTCCGATGATGCTGTGACACACCGTCCCAGACCATGATGGACCCTCCACCTCCAAATCGATCCTGCTCCAGAGTACAGGCCTCGGTGTAACGCTCATTCCTTCAACGATAAACGCGAATCCGACCATCACCCCTGGTGAGACTAAACCGCGACTCGTCAGTGAAGAGCACTTTTTGCCAGTCCTGTCTGGTCCAGCGATGGTGGGTTTGTGCCCATAGGCGACGTTGTTGCCGGTGATGTCTGGTGAGGACTTGCCTTACAACATGCCTACAAGCCCTCAGTCCAGCCTATTGCGGACAGTCTGAGCACTGATGGAGGGATTGTGCGTTCCTGGTGTAATTCGGGCAGTTGTTGTTGCCATCCTGTACCTGTCCCGCAGGTGTGATATTCGGATTTACCAATCCTTTGCAGGTGTTACATGTGGTCTGCCACTGTGAGGACGATCAGCTGTCCGTCCTGTAGCGCTGTCTTAGGCGTCTCACAGTACGGACATTGCAATTTATTGCCCTGGCCACATCTGCAGTCCTCATGCCTCCTTGCAGCATGCTTAAGGCACGTTCACGCAGATGAGCAGGGACCCTGGGCATCTTTCTTTTGGGGTTTTTCAGAGTCCGTAGAAAGGCCTCTCTAGTGTCCTAAGTTTTCATAACTGTGACCTTAATTGCCTACCGTCTGAATGCTGTTAGTGTCTTAACGACTGTTCCACAGGTGCATGTTCATTAATTGTTTATGGTTCATTGAACAAGCATGGGGACACAGTGTTTAAACCCTTTACAATGAAGATCTGTGAAATTATTTGGATTTTTACGAATTATCTTTGAAAGACAGGGTCCTGAAAAAGGGACGTTTCTTTTTTTTTTGCTGAGTTTACAATGGTACCTTCCATAAACAGCTGCACACACACATTCTACTTAATATAAATACACACGCTACCTCACACAGCCTCATGACACCTTATACACAAACACTCACATGGGGCTTCACAGGGGTCTAGGGATGTACTTCAGACTGGACTATAGTTTAACTCCTGGTCCTTCTTTCCAACTCACTTCCTCTCCAGCGTACCTGCCCCCGTCGGTGATGCTGCCTCCACGCCGGCTGCAGACCCTGCTCAGACAGGCTGTGGAGCTGCAGAGAGACCGCTGCCTCTACCATAACACCAAACTGGACAGCAGCCTGGACTCTGTCACCTTGCTCCTGGACCACGTCTGCAGCCGGTCAGCAACACACTCAGGGTGACAGTTTCTGCCAAACACAGCTGAAATGTGCAAAAAAACAGACAACCTGACAACCTTTTCTTTTTACGATGCTTACTGTAGACATCTGTAAAGATGGTGGCAATTATCTATGCGGATATACAGTGACGGAAAAAAGTATTTGATCCCCTGCTGATTTTGTACGTTTGCCCACTGACAAAGACATGATCAGTCTATAATTTTAATGGTAGGTTTATTTGAACAGTGAGAGACAGAATAACAACAACAAAATCCAGAAAAATGCATGTCAAAAATGTTATAAATTGATTTGCATTTTAATGAGGGGAATAAGTATTTGACCCCTCTGCAAAACATGACTTAGTACTTGGTGGCAAAAACCTTGTTGGCAATCAGAGGTCAGACGTTTCTTGTAGTTGGCCACCAGGTTTGCATACATCTCAGGAGGGATTATGTTCCACTCCTCTTTGCAGATCTTCTCCAAGTCATTAAGGTTTCGAGGCTGACGTTTGGGAACTCGAACCTTCAGCTCCCTCCACAGATTTTCTATGGGATTAGGGTCTGGAGACTGGCCAGGCCACTCCAGGACCTTAATGTGCTTCTTCTTGAGCCACTCCTTTGTTGCCTTGGCCATGTGTTTTGGGTCATTGTCATGCTGGAATACCCATCCACGACCCATTTTCAATGCCCTGACTGAGGGAAGGAGGTTCTCACCCAATATTTGACAGTACATGGCCCCGTCCATCGTCCCTTTGATGCGGTGAAGTTATCCTGTCCCCTTAGCAGAAAAATACACCCAAAGCATAATGCTAATCCAGGCACTTGTCATCTCCCGTCTGGATTACTGCAACTCGCTGTTGGCTGGGCTCCCTGCCTGTGCCATTAAACCCCTACAACTCATCCAGAATGCCGCTGCCCCATCTGGTGTTCAACCTTCCCAAGTTCTCTCACGTCACCCCGCTCCTTCGCACACTCCACTGGCTTCCAGTTGAAGCTCGCAGCTGTTACAAGACCATGGTGCTTGCCTATGGAGCTGTGAGGGGAACGGCACCTCCGTACCTTCAGGCTCTGATCAGTCCCTACACCCAAACGAGGGCATTGCGTTCATCCACCTCTGGCCTGCTAGCTCCCCTTCCTCTGCGGAAGCATAGTTCCCGCTCAGCCCAGTCAAAACTGTTCGCTGCTCTGGCACCCCAATGGTGGAACAAGCTCCCTCACGGCGCCAGGACGGCGGAGTCGCTCACCACCTTCCGGAGACATTTGAAACCCCACCTCTTTAAGGAGTACCTGGGATAGGATAAAGTAATCCTTCTACCCCCCCCCCTAAAAAAAAAAAAAAAAAAAAATGGTAAAGTGGTTATCCCACTGGCTATAGGGTGAATGCACCAATTTGTAAGTCGCTCTGGATAAGAGCGTCTGCTAAATGACGTAAATGTAAATGTAAATGTTTCCACCTCCATGTTTGACGGTGGGGATGGTGTTCTTGGGGTCATAGGCAGCATTCCACCTGCTCCAAACACGGCGAGTTGAGTTGATGCCAAAGAGCTCGATTTTGGTCTCATCTGACCACAACACTTTCACCCAGTTCTCCTCTGAATCATTCAGATGTTCATTGGCAAACTTCAGACGGCCCTGTATATGTGCTTTCTTGAGCAGGGGGACCTTGCTGGCACTGCAGGATTTCAGTCCTTCACGGCGTAGTGTGTTACCAATTGTTTTCTTGGTGACTATGGTCCCAGCTGCCTTGAGATCATTGACAAGATCCTCCCGTGTAGTTCTGGGCTGATTCCTCACCGTTCTCATGATCATTGCAACTCCACTAGGTGAGTTCTTGCATGGAGCCCCAGGCAGAGGGAGATTGACAGTTCTTTTGTGTTTCTTCCATTTGCGAATAATCGCACCAACTGTTGTCACCTTCTCACCAAGCTGATTGGTGATGGTCTTGTAGCCCATTCCAGCCTTGTGTAGGTCTACAATCTTGTCCCTGACATCCTTGGAGAGCTCTTTGGTCTTGGCCATGTTGGAGAGTTTGGAATCTGATTGATTGCTTCTGTGTACAGGTGTCTTTTATACAGGTAACAAGCTGAGATTAGGAGCACTCCCTTTAAGAGTGTGCTCCTAATCTCAGCTCGTTACCTGTATAAAAGACACCTGGGAGCCAGAAATCTTTCTGATTGAGAGGGGGTCAAATACTTATTTCCCTCATTAAAATGCAAATCAATTTCAAAAATTTTTGACATGGGTTTTTCTGGATTTTTTTGTTGTTATTTTGTTTCTCACTGTTCAAATAAACCTACCATTAAAATTATAGACTGATCATTTCTTTGTCAGTGGGCAAATGTACAAAATCAGCAGGGGATCAAATACGTTTTTCCCTCACTGTATAGAAAAGCATGTTTCAAAATAGGGTCTTTGTGTATTATAGAGTTTTCCTGACCCCTTGACCTGACTTGGGGAAACTCGGGGCCCACATGGTCAGGAAAAACTCAGAACCTATGTATAAACGTTGCATGTAATGCAATGGCGAGCTGCAATTTTCTGAACTCATTTTGTACAGAAGTGTCCTGTGTATTTGGAATGGTACGTCGTTTTTTTATTTATGTTATTTTTGAGCACTGCAAAAGTTAAGAGGACATAAGATATCACCCTCAATCGTTTACCAACTCCGTCTCACCCGTAGAGCCTCGATCCTCCACTCCTCTTCATTCTATACCTGTCTCTCTCTCTCCACTATCCTCCACTCCTCTTCATGCTATACCTTTCTCTCTCTCTCCACTGTCCTCCACTCCTCTTCATGCTATACCTTTCTCTCTCTCTCCACTATCCTCCACTCCTCTTATAATACTCATGCTATACCTTTTTCTCTCTCCACTATCCTCCACTCCTCTTCATGCTATACCTTTCTCTCTCTCCACTATCCTCCACTCCTCTTCATGCTATACCTTTTTCTCTCTCCACTATCCTCCACTCCTCTTCATTCTATACCTTTCTCTCTCTCTCCGCTATCCTCCACTCCTCTTCATTCTATACATCTCCCTCCGCTATCCCACTCCTCTTCATCTCTCTCTCCGCTATCCTCCACTCCTCTTCATTCTATACCTTTCTCTCTCTCTGCTATCCTCCACTCCTCTTCGCTCTATACCTTTCTCTCTCTCTCTGCTATCCTCCACTCCTCTTCATTCTATACCTTTCTCTCTCTCCACTATCCTCCACTCCTCTTCATTCTATACCTTTCTCTCTCTCCACTATCCTCCACTCCTCTTCATTCTATACCTTTCTCTCTCTCCACTATCCTCCTCTTGTATTTTCTTCTCATCCTCCCCTTTTTTTCTCTGGCCTTTTTGTTTAATCCTTGGATGACCTCTCTCTCCTGGTTGACCCCATCCACAGGAAGCAGTTCCCGTGCTACACGCAGCAGATCCTCACAGAGCACTGTAACGAGGTGTGGTTCTGTAAATTCTCCAACGACGGCACCAAGCTGGCCACCGGCTCCAAAGACACCACCGTAATCATCTGGCAGGTGGACCCTGTGAGTACCACGCTAAGTCCATTTCCCCCACACCACCGGCTGTGTACATTCCCACTATATGCCATATAGGAGGAGTCATCTGCTGCTTTAATGGCAAAGATAGCCACCATCTACTGCAGAGGTAGGCAACTAGATTCAGCCGCGGGACGATTTTTGTTGGAGCAAACAAAATTATAATACACTGCAAATTGACCGCAACTAAGCCTGTTGCAGACCCCTGATCTACTGTCTTCACATTAGTGCTTTACGCTAACCCAGAGCCTGGTCTGTGTGGTGTCTAGGAGAGCCACCAGTTGAAGCTGCTGCGGACCCTAGAGGGCCATGCCTACGGTGTGTCCTACCTAGCCTGGAGCCCTGATGACACCTACCTGATCGCCTGCGGTCCTGATGACTGCTCTGAACTCTGGCTCTGGAATGTCCAAGTATGGAAATCCCCATACATACATACATACATACAGTGGGGGAAAAAAGTATTTAGTCAGCCACCAATTGTGCAAGTTCTCCCACTTACAAAGATGAGAGAGGCCTGTAATTTTCATCATAGGTACACGTCAACTATGACAGACAAAATGAGAAAAAAAATCCAGAAATCACATTGTAGGATTTTTTATGAATTATTTGCAAATTATGGTGGAAAATAAGTATTTGGTCAATAACAAAGTTTCGTCAATACTTTGTTATATACCTTTGTTGGCAATGACACAGGTCAAACGTTTTCTGTAAGCTTCACAAGGTTTTCACACACTGTGCTGTATTTGGCCCATCCTCATGCAGATCTCTTCTAGAGCAGTGATGTTTGGGGCTGTCGCTGGGCACCACGGACTTTCAACTTCCTCCAAAGATTTCTATGGGGTTGAGATCTGGAGACTGGCTAGGCCACTCCAGGACCTTGAAATGCTTCTTACGAAGCCACTCCTTCATTGCCCGGGCGGTGTGTTTGGGATCAGTCATGCTGAAAGACCCAGCCACGTTTCATCTTCAATGCCCTTGCTGATGGAAGGAGGTTTTCACTCAAAATCTCACGATACATGGCCCCATTCATTCTTTCCTTTACACGGATCAGTCGTCCTGGTCCCTTTGCAGAAAAACAGCCCCAAAGCATGATGTTTCCACCCCCATGCTTCACAGTAGGTATGGTGTTCTTTGGATGCAACTCAGCATTCTTTGTCCTCCAAACACGACAATTATATTTTGGTTTCATCTGACCATATGACATTCTCCCAATCCTCTTCTGGATCATCCAAATGCACTCTAGCAAACTTCAGACGGGCCTGGACATGTACTGGCTTAAGCAGGGGGACACGTCTGGCACTGCAGGATTTGAGTCCCTGGCGGCGTAGTGTGTTACTGATGGTAGGCTTTGTTACTTTGGTCCCAGCTCTCTGCAGGTCATTCACTAGGTCCCCCCGTGTGGTTCTGGGATTTTTGCTCACCGTTCTTGTGATCATTTTGATCCCACGGGGTGAGATCTTGCGTGGAGCCCCAGATCGAGGGAGATTATCAGTGGTCTTGTATGTCTTCCATTTCCTAATAATTGCTCTCACAGTTGATTTCTTCAAACCAAGCTGCTTACCTATTGCAGATTCAGTCTTCCCAGCCTGGTGCAGGTCTACAATTTTGTTTCTGGTGTCCTTTGACAGCTCTTTGGTCTTGGCCATAGTGGAGTTTGGAGTGTGACTGTTTGAGGTTGTGGACAGGTGTCTTTTATACTGATAACAAGTTCAAACAGGTGCCATTAATACAGGTAACGAGTGGAGGACAGACGAGCCTCTTAAAGAAGTTGTTACAGGTCTGTGAGAGCCAGAAATCTTGCTTGTTTGTAGGTGACCAAATACTTATTTTCCACCATAATTTGCAAATAAATTCATAATAAATCCTACAATGTGATTTTCTGGATTTTTTTTTCTAAATTTGTCTGTCGTAGTTGACGTGTACCTATGATGAAAATTACAGGCCTCTCATCTTTTTAAGTGGGAGAACTTGCCCAATTGGTGGCTGACTAAATACTTTTTTTCCCCACTGTACCTACATACACCACACACACACACACACTGGAACATCCAGGTATTGCAACCCACACACACACTGCCCGGCAACGCCGTCTGTTATTGCTGGTATTCAATTGGTGCAGGCATACACTGCAACCGTCCAGGATGGGGCTTGAATGATTGATTGGAGTTAATTAGATAAATAGAAACATCAATTAATGTAATCTATTGGCCAGATAGTCCCTGATTTTAAATGCGACTGATAAAAACAACCACGCAGTAGACCTCCAGGCTGGGAACTCTTCAGTGTCTGTACTGACTGAGTGGTGTTTGTCCCTTGGTGGGCAGACAGGAGAGTTGCGGACCAAGATGAGCCAGTCCCACGAGGACAGTCTGACCAGTGTGGCTTGGAACCCTGATGGGAAACGCTTCGTCACCGGGGGACAGAGGGGACAATTCTACCAGTGTGTAGGTATTGGTGTGGGAAGGTGTGTTGTACCAGTTTGCTGTGTGTGTGTGTGTGTGTGATCTATCCACCAGATATACCAGTTAGTTCTTTCAGTTTGTCCTGCCAGTGTGTGAGTAGAGGGGAGAGTACAGGGTGATATGTGAGGAGGATACAGGACAGCAGGAATGAATACACTACAGCGGGGAGGGACTAATACAGGATAGCATATGGACTGGCTACTTTTAGATTTGCAGCTTCACACCTTTTATTGATTAGCTGACTAGACAGGAACCTGCTGACCTCCAAAACAGATTGTCAGGATCTAGTGTGTCGGTGTGTTTGTTACAAACTGTATTTGTGCAATTGCTAAAATGTGTGTCTGATTTTTCTATGAGTTTCTAGGGGCATGAGTGATTTAACATTTTGGACTGGCCTGTGTGTGATTGATTGATTCCCAGGATCTGGACTATATCCATTTGGACCTATGTATTTCATTGATTGATTGTTGTGTTAATGGTAGGACCTGGACGGTAACCTGTTGGACTCATGGGAGGGCGTGCGTGTGCAGTGCCTCTGGTGTGTGGGGGACGGCAGGACGGTGCTAGCTTCAGACACACACCAGCGGATCCGGGGTTACAACTTTGAGGACCTAACGGACAGAAACATGTGAGGGCTGTATTCATCAGTTGATTAACTCAAAATATGTAAAGGGAATGTTGACAGAAGTCTTAGTAATAAATAATGCATGGTTTATATATTAACAAATGATACATGAGTTACTAAGTGTTTATTGTTTTATAAATAGTTTATTAATAGACCTACAAATGAAGCAATACTGGAGCATGTAATGCGCTCTGAATTACTAATCTTACTTATACAATTGTCTATACAGATATTGAACAGAACACAGATTAGTAATTGACCATATTTGTTGTGAATTTGTCTCTTACAGAGTTCAGGAGGACCACCCTATCATGTCTTTCACTGTTTCCAAGAACGGAAGATTAGCTTTGTTAAATGTAGCAACTCAGGTGAGTGGGGATATGGTGCTATACCTGAACACTGAAGCGGGTGTGTGTGTGGAGACGTTGGAGGAGTAGGAGTTTGTGGCCGTGCTAATGGCTGTCTTTAGTGTCTAACTGCTCCCCTCCTCCCTCCATTCTACCCCCCCACAGGGAGTGCATCTTTGGGACCTGCAGGACCGGGTGTTGGTGAGGAAGTACCAGGGTGTGACCCAGGGCTTCTACACCATCCACTCCTGCTTCGGAGGACACAATGAAGACTTCATCGCCAGCGGCAGCGAAGGTACCCCCACAGACCCAACAGCAGCCATTTTAGGCATCAGCTACTCCTTAAGCTCAGGATTGGTGTAATGGCTGATATTGAGCCCTAGAACAAACATGTTTGGGACCTGCAGGCTTCAATCGAACGCTGCTGGCACCCGCCCACCCGACTAGAATCGCCACTCTCGACGGGTCTGACCTAGAGTATGTGGACAACTACAAATACCTAGGTGTCTGGTTAGACTGTAAACTCTCCTTCCAGACTCACATTAAGAATCTCCAATCCAAAGTTAAATCTAGAATCGGCTTCCTATTTCGCAACAAAGCCTCCTTCACTCATGCTGCCAAACATGCCCTCGTAAAACTGACTATCCTACCGATCCTTGACTTCGGCGATGTCATTTACAAAATAGCCTCCAACACTCTACTCAGCAAATTGGATGTAGTCTATCACAGTGCCATCCGTTTTGTCTCCAAAGCCCCATACACTACCCACCACTGTGACCTGTACGCTCTTGTTGGCTGGTCCTCACTACATGTTCGTCGTCAAACCCACTGGCTCCAGGCCATCTATAAATCACTGCTAGGCAAATCCCCGCCTTATCTTAGCTCATTGGTCACCATAGCAGCACCCACCCGTAGTCTGCGCTCCAGCAGGTATATCTCACTGGTCATTCCCAAAGCCAACACCTCCTTTGGCCGCCATTCCTTCCAGTTCTCTGCTGCCAATGACTGGAACGAATTGCAAAAATCTCTGAAGCTGGAGACTCTTATCTCCCTCACTAACTTTAAGCATCAGTTGTCAGAGCACCTTACCGATCACTGCACCTGTACACAGCCCATCTGAAATTAGCCCACCCAACTACCTCATCCCTATATTGTTATTTATTTTGCTCTTTTGCACCCCAGTATCTCTATTTGCACATAATCTCTTGCACATCTAGCATTCCAGTGTTAATACTAATTGTAAATATTTTGCACTATAGCCTATTTATTGCCTTACCTCCATAACTTGCTACGTTTGCACACACTGTATATATATTTTCTGTTGTATTTTTTGACTTTATGTTTTTTACCCCATATGTAACTCTGTGTTGTTTTTATCGCACTACTATGCTTTATCTTGGCCAGGTCGCAGTTGTAAATAAGAACTTGTTCTCAACTGGCTTACCTGGTTAAATAAAGGTGAAATAAAAAATAAAATAAAATAAAAATAAATGTTCACCGCTGTATCCCTCACTATGGTTGCATCCCAATTATCTCTCACACACATACACATGCAGTGACTTTGTCAGTGACTTTGCCTTGCAGCATATCATAGGAAGGTCGACCTTGCCACTTTTTCAATATTAATACCATTGTACTCCCTCTTCCTCCCCTCTCTTACCCCCTCCACCCCACCTCACTCTACTCTCCCCCTCCCCCTCCCCCTCAGACCATAAGGTGTATATCTGGCACCGGCGCAGTGAGCTGCCCATCGCTGAGTTGACAGGGCACACTCGCACAGTCAACTGCGTTAGCTGGAACCCTGTCATCCCAGGCCTCATGGCCTCCGCCTCGGACGACGGCACCGTGCGTGTCTGGGGCCCGCACCCTTCCTCAACACACAGGAGATGGACGGACTCAACGGTAACTACGGCTAGCATTTTGTTAGCTCAATGGCCGTAAAACGGCTAAAGGTTTTACAGGTAATTCATGTCCCTCTCATCTCTCCCCAGAGAACTGCAGCAACATGGACAGTTGATGGTGACTGGAATGGAAGACTTGTTCTCTTTTACCAACTGACAACAAATAAACATCAAAACGAATCCTAAACCTAACAAAACACAAAACAAAACAGAAACAAAAGTAAATCAGTTGCGTCTCATGACCTGGCAAAACTGTGGAGGTGAGGATGAACACACTCTTAGAAAACCAGGTCTTCATCCAGAACCAGTGACCTGGAAAATCCGATCCACTGGTACTCCCTGCTGGCTTCCTACTCCTCCACCCCTCTCCCAAACAAGGCTACAGCCACAACAGGGGCTTTCCCCTGAATCTTCCCCTTGGAAACCCACCTCCTCCCTGGGTCACAGGCCTGGTGTCTCTCCAGACAGCCATTACAGACCAGCCACACTGATTGGACCGTGTCTGTCTTCTGTCTCTATCATGTACCCATGTGTGTCTGGGGGGGGGGGGGGGTGTTAAAAGAGGTGGGGGGAGTTATAGCAACTCTTCCTTCTGTTTGTTTTTATCTTCTCCTTCTGACTCTAGCTCCTTTCTTTGCACTTGAGTTGTTGGACGAAGGCTGAAAATCTGCACAAAACCAACCGACAAAGTAAAACGCAAAGGCTATGCTTATTTTGATTTTTTTTTTTGCGATAGTCAGCATTCTTATTATTATCATTTAACAGGTGAATCCTAGGGTTGAACTAGGGGTAGTGGCTGTGGAGTGCTTTAGTGTGAACAAAACGCTCTCAATTAGGAAAAGCTATTTTTATCCCTTTATAGTCTAAAATGAACAAACTCGCTACAAAGTCTCACCCTCTGACACCCCCTATCTCCCCCCTCCCACTTCGGCTGTTAACTGTTCCACTAGATCTACCTGTGGGGAGGGGGGGAAAGGTGAACTGTTAAAGGGGAGGGTTCAGTGGTAGCTGGTCTCGTGTGAAGCAGCCCTCGTGTTGAGTATCTCTCTAAGAAGGACATACTGTTGTCTGTACATGCAACTTTTCTGTACACTGAGGACTGCATCTGTCCTTCCTCTTTGTGTATGTGCGTGTGTCAATGTGTGTCTGGGTGCGCTTCCGTGTGGTTTGTTTGAATGCAGGTGCATGCAGACCTGTGTGTTTCTATTCACACCAGCAGAAGATCATGCTTTCCCCCCTCCTCCCAGTGACATTTTAAAGAGGCTTTTAAACCCATTCAGAGTTAATCCAAAGCCCCATAGAGGTCGCTATCTGTGGAACAAATAATACTTTAGAGCCATTTTCTAAACTTTTTTTAAAATCTGGGGCTTTTCTTTTTACATTTGACTTTGCTTTTTTTATATTTCTCCTTACCACCACCTACCATTGGAAAGGCACTGAGGGATCGGCGTTACATCTGTATTGTGGGAAAACTTTTAAAAAAGAAAAGTGAATGACATGCATTTCAAAAGAGCTGTAAACAATGTTGTGAGAAAAGGGTCATTTCATATGAGGAGTTAACGATTGTAGCGTTGGAGAAAGAGGTTTATTGTTCCACGTATAGAATTACAATTTTAGAGCGTTCTAACACAAACACCCCACACACCCACATGTATACCCAAAACACAACGCTTCACATTCAGAGGTCTACCCCAAGTCACACCTACAAACGCTCAATTACAATATGATCGCCTGCTCTTATCCCCCAGTCTGACAGGACTGGGTAGGTATAGGGCAAGGTCTTATGGATGAAGTGATCATATTGGAATCTGGCCCACGCCACAATTCCATGCACCCTACACAGTAGTACAGCATTCTTGAAGTTAAAGTTACATCTTACATACAGCCCATACGGAGCGAGAGGGACTTCTGCACAACACCCCTTTCCTTCTCTCCAGTCCACCTTATCAGTGGTGAAAGCACCATACAGAGCTTTCTTCCTTTCTGATTCGGGGTATGTAATGACTATTTGCTATGAACTGATATTACATGTTTAAAAATTACTGAATATTTTGTTTTATTTTTTGTTCTCATTTCATTAGTTTTTTGGTTGACCCCTCCCTGTATTATCATATTAAAATATAACCAGACAACTGGTGTCCTCATTCTTTTTTATTCCGCTTATAATTAGTTTTGTCTTTTGGGTAAAATGTTTACCTTATCCACCACTTCTTACATTTTTATCAGTGAATATTCGCAGTAACACTCATGCCAATATGAGTGTGGTGGTTTATGCTTTGGGAGTGTGTTACCTTATAAGAATCAGGTTTAAACTGTCCACCCCTTTAAAAAGAGACTCAATGTACGGTGATTGAATACTTGCATGTCTGTGGAATAAGACCGGGGGGGGGGAATCTATTTTTGTGGCACTGTTGGTTGCAGTTACCATTTCTGCCCTTACTAAAACGCTTGAGACCCAAAAGTGGCTCTGTGGGTGTCGTGTGTGTGTGTGTGATTCCATGTTGTAAGGTTAGTCTGGAATGGTCCTTCTCCCATTCTTGAACCTTCCATCTCCTGGACCCCTGAATGGACTTGAACTCCCCATCCACACCTTATGTCATGTCTGAAGATTTGAGGCAAATCAAAAGTGAAGAACTCAAAAGCTTTCACAAAGTTATAATTCACCTGCTGGTGACATATTCTATGTCTGTATGCAACTTGGTGTCTACTCTGTTCTTTTGTCTTTTGATTTTTTTTATGATTTGATGATGCTAATAATAACTATTTCTCTCTGGAGGTGATAGGGCTTGGTGGGGGAGTAAGGGTTTTTGGTAGCAGATTAAAATAGTTATTGGGGGATGGGGACCTGTTTGCGTTTTTAATGTGTTATTACAAAAGTGATTTAACTGTTTTGTATTGTTGTGTAGGAGAAGTGTTATGTATGCATATTTTCAATAAAGCATTCAGGGTTTTGAAAAAGAGCTGTGGCCCTACATGGAATATCAAGGGGCTGGAGCATAGTCACTCCCTAAGCACAGATACAGGATCAGTTTACCTTATCCAATCCTATCCACAGTCCTCCATAATCATGAGGGGGTACAGAGCTAAACTGACCTTCGATCAGTGTAAAGGGACAACACCTCTCAACACACTTTAGAGGAAAGCTTGAGTTCTCAGACTGAAAAGAGCTATCAATTTTCCTGTGTTTAACTTTGTATTGTTGATTGAGTCACACTTGAAAATTTGATGACATTTGGTGTTAATTCAGAGAAGCCACATGGCAGGAAAGAAGAATAATGTGCATCAGAGGGGATCAAATGCCAAATGTAGGGGAAAACAAGATCTGTTGCCAATAAAATGTGACTATTTTGACTAAACCATCTTGTTTGAAATACATTTCTAATTTGAGATGCATGTGTGTTGACGCCATTATCTTCGCCAGTTATTATACAGGTCATAGACTAAATGTATTACCTCCATATATAGACCAATTGTCTCCATTCCTCTTTACATTAGCTCAACACCGCCCCCAGGTGGGAAATTATATTATTGCAATAACATTTTCCATAGTATTTTATTTACATAACATAGCCTACATACAAGAACCCAGTCCATGGTTCAAAGCCGAAATAACCAAGTCAATACAATATTCAACATTTATTTATTTGTTTGACCTGTTCCTCCAGTTTGCAACAATAGGGAAAATATGCCAAATGTGTATTTTAAATGAGAATCCTATATGCTACTGACCACAGTCACACATACTCGAAGATTAAATAGTAAGAATTGCATAGTTTTAAAAAAGGTACTCTAAAACACGTCAAAAACCATGTTTGTTTTGATCTTCGAGAGGGAACTCACATTTGGGCTCCCAAGTGGCGCAGCGGTCTAAGGCACTGCATTGCAGTGTTAGAGGCGTCACTACAGACCGTGGTCGATCCTGGGTTGTATCACAACCGATTGGGAGTCCCATAGGGCGGCGCACAATTGGCCCAGCGTCATTAAGGTTTGGCCAGGGTAGGCCGTCATTGTAAATAAGAATTTGTTCTTAAAGGTTAAATAAAAACTACAAAATCTCCAATAGTAGAGGATGGAGGCCCACCAATCGTGACGTCAGAGTCCGCGAGCTTCCACCCACTGTTCTACAGTCCCGGTTCATCATTTACATATCGCGGACGATAGCGCACCATCCAGGGTTAGCGCAGCCCGAACCGAGTCCCTGCATCAGTCATGGCGGCGCCGTTAGCCCACTTCGACGAAGACTGGCAGGATTTCAATGAATTCAAGGCGGCCTCTGGGTCGCCGAACCGACTGGACCAGCTGAACTCGAACATGGCTGACACGGGCCTGGTGGAAGATTTCTCAGACCTCGACAGCTTCTCGGGGGACATATGCAGCTTCACATCAATGGAGGACCTTGTCCAAGACTTCGATGAGAAACTGACAGTTTGCTTTCGAAATTACAACACCAAGACTGAAAACATAGCCCCCATTAAACCTATCACAGAAGATAATTTCCTCAAAGACGACGAGTGAGTGTGAATTTTGTAGCTACTACTTTATCAGTTAAGCATTGATAGCTTAACATCTACAATCTCAAGCTAGTTAGTTAATTTAGCATACCATTGCTAATGTTAACCTGCTGCTAGCTAGCCATTTTACAACAGGGTTGTTAGTTAGCAAGCCAATGTTGTTTGGAATGCATGTAAACCTGTAAAGATAACGTAGAAAATCAGGACTTCAAGACAAGAGCCTTCAAGATAAGCATAAGTGTTTTGTTGTTTGTTAGCAGGTAGTTCAAATACTTTAGCTGAGCTGGGTTTTCAAAGTAACTAGCTAGCTAAGTAAGCTAGTAGCTAGCTACCCAACTTTAGTTTGTAAACGACTTGATAGTTTCAAGTTTCACATGTCACATGCACAAGTACAGTGACGTGCCTTTCTTGCAAACTCAAAACCCAACAATGCAATAATCAATAACAATGTAATACTAGAAAAAAACACGAGAAATAAGAAGAAATATGAAGATCACAATAATTAATCATTAATAATTAAGTAAGCATACTAACGGTATTTACAGAGTCAGTTCCATGACCATATTTACAATGTGCAGGGATACTGAAGTGATGGAGGAAGATATGTATAGGGGTAAGGTGACTAGAAAACAAGATATAAGATAAACAGAGTAGCAGCAGCTTGTGTGTGTAGAGTCAGCATAAATGGATGTGCATATTATGTGCGAGTGTGTAGGGCCCTGGTGAGTGTGTATAGAGACAGTGCAAAAATAAAAGGTATCTTTATTGACAAGGTTAACTCCGATAGTCTTTGTAGCTATTTTGTTAGCTATGTAGTAGTCTTATTGATTGGGGATGGAAGCTGTTCAAGAGCCTGTTGGTGTCAGACTTGATGCACAGGTGCCGATTTTCTGGGCCTTCCTTCCACTCTGCCTGATATACAGTGAGGGAAAAAAGTATTTGATCCCCTGCTGATTTTGTACGTTTGCCCACTGACAAAGACATGATCAGTCTATAATTTTAATGGTAGATTTATTTGAACAGTGAGAGACAGAATAACAACAAAAAAATCCAGAAAAACACATGTCAAAAATGTTATAAATTGATTTGCATTTTAATGAGGGAAATAAGTATTTGACCCCTCTAAAAACATGACTTAGTACTTGGTGGCAAAACCCTTGTTGGCAATCACAGAGGTCAGACGTTTCTTGTAGTTGGCCACCAGGTTTGCACACATCTCAGGAAGGATTTTGTCCCACTCCTCTTTGCAGATCTTCTCCAAGTCATTAAGGTGTCGAGGCTGACGTTTGGCAACTCAAACCTTCAGCTCCCTCCACAGATTTTCTATGGGATTAAGGTCTGGAGACTGGCTAGGCCACTCCAGGACCTTAATGTGCTTCTTCTTGAGCCGTGTGTTTTGGGTCATTGTCATGCTAGAATACCCATCCACGACTCATTTTCAATGCCCTGGCTGAGGGAAGGAGGTTCTCACCCAAGATATGACGGTACATGGCCCCGTCCATCGTCCCTTTGATGCGGTGAAGTTGTCCTGTCCCCGTAGCAGAAAAACACCCCCAAAGCATAATGTTTCCACCTCCATGTTTGACGGTGGGGATGGTGTTCTTGGGGTCATAGGCAGCATTCCTCCTCCTCCAAACACTGCGAGTTGAGTTGATGCCAAAGAGCTCGATTTTGGTCTCATCTGACCACAACACTTTCACCCAGTTCTCCTCTGAATCATTCAGATGTTCATTGGCAAACTTCAGACGGGACTGTATATGTGCTTTCTTGAGCAGGGGGACCTTGCGGGTGCTGCAGGATTTCAGTCCTTCACGGCGTAGTGTGTTACCAATTGTTTTCTTGGTGACTGGTCCCAGCTGCCTTGAGATCATTGACAAGATCCTCCCGTGTAATTCTGGGCTGATTCCTCACCGTTCTCATGATCATTGCAACTCCACGAGGTGAGATCTTGCATGGAGCCCCAGGCCGAGGGAGATTGACAGTTATTTTGTGTTTCTTCCATTTGCGAGTAATGGCACCAACTGTTGTCACCTTCTCACCAAGCTGCTTGGCGATGGTCTTGTAGCCCATTCCAGCCTTGTGTAGGTCTATAATCTTGTCCCTGACATCCTTGGAGAGCTCTTTGGTCTTGGCCATGGTGGAGAGTTTAGAATCTGATTTGATTGATTGCTTCTGTGGACAGGTGTCAAGCTGAGATTTAAGAGTGTGCTCCTAATCTCAGCTCGTTACCTGTATAAAAGACACCTGGGAGCCAGAAATCTTTCTGATTGAGAGGGGGTCAAATACTTATTTCCCTCATTAAAATGCAAATCAATTACTAAAATTTTTGACATGCGTTTTTCTGGATTTTTTTGTTGTTATTCTGTCTCTCACTGTTCAAATAAACCTACCATTAAAATTATAGACTGATCATTTCTTTGTCAGTGGGCAAACGTACAAAATCAGCAGGGGATCAAATACTTTTTTCCCTCAATGTAGATGTCCTGGATGGCAGGGAGCTCGGCCCCATGCGATCGAGGGTGGTACTATTGCCATACCAGGCAGTGATGTAGCCAGTCAATATGCTCTCAATGGTACAGCTGTATAACTATTTGAGGGCCCATGCCAAACTTTTTCAACTTCCTGAGGGGGAAAAGGCGCTGTCACGCCTTCTTCACGACTGTGCGTGTGTGTTTGGACCATTTTAAGTCTTTAGTGATTTGGACACCGATGAACTTGAAGCTCTCAACCTGCTCCACTGCAGCCCCGTCGGTGTGGATGTGGGCGTGCTCGCCCCCCTGTTTCCTTGTGGGCGTGCTCGCCCCCCTGTTTCCTGTGGTCCACGATCAGGTCCCCTGTCTTACTGACTGACCTCCTCCCTGTAGGCTGACTCATCGTCGCCGGTGATCAAGCCTACCACCGTTGTGTCGTCAGCAAACTTGATAATGGTGTTTGAGTCGTGCGTGGCCACACAGTCGTGGGTGAACAGGGAGTACAGGAGGGGACTAAGCACAAACCCCTGTGGGGCCCAGGTGTTGAGGGTCAGCTTGGCGGAGGTGATGTTGCCTACCCTCACCACCTGGGGTCGGCTAGTCAGGAAGTCCAGTTGCAGAGGGATGTGTTCAGACCCAGAGTCCTAAGCTTGGTGACGAGGTTGGAGGGGGCAGTGGTGCTGAACACTGAGCTGTAGTCAGTGAACAGCATTCTAACATTGTATTCCTCTTATCTAGGTGGGTGAGGGCAATGTGGCAAACAATTGAGATTGCGTCATCTATGGATCTGTTGGGACGGTATGCAAATTGGAGTGGGTCTAGGGTGGCTGGGATGGTGGAGTTAAAGTGTGCCATAACCAGCCTCTCAAAGCATAACCAGCCTGTCATGATTACAGAAGTGAGTGCTACAGGGCCGTAGTCGTTGGGGCATGAAGCCTTTGAGTTATTAGGGACAGGAATGATGGTGGTCATTTTAAAACATGTAGGGATTACAGACTGGGACAAGGAGATGTTGAAAATTACCGTGATATTTGCATTGCATGATTTCGTAAACTGTCCCTCCTTTCACATTAGTGACTTAAAAATATTAGCTAGGCTACCGTTTTCTCGTGCATTAGCTAGCTATGTGCACAGCAATTCATTTTCCCAATTCTAGCACTGTAGCTAGTTATTGTATTGAATACTGACTTTGATCTTCATCATAGACTCGTCTGAGTCTGTCTAAATTGACAGGACCGGACAGATAGGAGTCTGGGCTGTTCTCCATTGACTCACTGTTGAATAACCAGATCTTCATTCATTCATTGTGACATTTAAACAAGTTCAAACACATACACAGAGGTAAATCTTTGTAATTGTTTTTGAAAAGGCACACTTCAGCTTAGTCTGATTTAATCAGGCAGTAATACACAATTAATGGGTATATACAGCCTGAAACAAATCCCTGCAAAATCGTGTAAATGTACCTTACAAGCCAGAATTTTTTATAAAATTACATTTAAACTTCCGGTTGAGACAAAATATCTACAGGAAGGTATTGTTTACCCGACTGTTTAGAGTGATGGTGGGTATATGGTGGTTCAACCTGGTCTCAGAGCATTTCTTATTATTCTGTGTGTAAATCTGAGAAACTCCATTTAGTGTGATGTGTTACGTTTCATATTGTATGTATTAATTTGTTGATGTCCATCATCCATTTCGTATAATATGTTACGAATTACAAATCTTATGTTACGAATTTACAAAACCTACAATCTGTTATGAATGTGCAAAACTTATGATATGTTACGAATTACAATTTGTTGTTGCTAACGTTAGCTAAGTGGGTAACGCTAACGTTAGCTAGCTGGCTAACGTTAGATAGCTGGCTAACGTTAGCTAGGCTAGGGGTTAGGGGAAGGGTTAGCTAAGTAGCTAAAAAGTAGCAAGTAGTTGCTAATTATCTAAAATACTAAAGTTGTCCTTGATGGGAAGAAACACAAAATAACTGTCAATCTCCCTCGGCCTGGGGTCTCAATGCAAGATCTCACCTCATGTAGTTGCAATGATCATGAGAACGGTGAGGAATCAGCCCAGAACTACATGGGAGGATCTTGTCAATGATCTCAAGGCAGCTGGGACCATAGTCACCAAGACAACAATTGGTAACACACTACGCCGTGAAGGACTGAAATCCTGCAGCGCCCGCAAGGTCCCCCTGCTCAAGAAAGCACATATACATACCCGTCTGAAGTTTGCCAATGAACATCTGAATGATTCAGAGGAGAACTTAGTGACAGTGTTGTGGTCAGATGAGACCAAAATGGAGCTCTTTGGTATCAACTCGCTGTGTTTGGAGGAGGAATGCTGCCTATGACCCCAAGAACATCATCCCCACTGTCAAACATGGAGGTGGAAACATTATGCTTTGGGGGTGTTTTTCTGCTAAGGGGACAGGACAACTTCACCGCGTCAAAGGGACGATGGACGGGGCCATGTACCGTCAAATCTTGGGTGAGAACCTCCTTCCCTCAGCAAGGGCATTGAACATGGGTCATGGATGGGTATTCCAGCATGACAATGACCCAAAACATACGGCCAAGGCAACAAAGGAGTGGCTCAAGAAGAAGCACATTAAGGTCCTGGAGTGGCCTAGCCAGTCTCCAGACCTTAATCCCATAGAAAATCTGTGGAGGGAGCTGAAGGTTCGAGTTGCCAAACGTCAGCCTCGAAACCTTAATGACTTGGAGAAGATCTGCAAAGAGGAGTGGGACAATATCCCTCCTGAGATGTGTGCAAACCTGGTGGCCAACTACAAGAAACGTCTGACCTCTGTGATTGCCAACAAGGGTTTTGCCACCAAGTACTAAGTAATGTTTTGCAGAGGGGTCAAATACTTATTTCCCTCATTAAAATGCAAATCAATTTATAACATTTTTGACATGCGTTTTTCTGGATTTTTTTTGTTATTCTGTCTCTCACTGTTCAAATAAACCTACCATTAAAATTATAGACTGATCATGTCTTTGTCAGTGGGCAAACGTACAAAATCAGCAGGAGATCAAATACTTTTTTTCCCTCACTGTAGTCTATTTCAGAAGAACAGAATAGCATACTCTGAGTTGTCCGTATGTTAGGTCCTGATCTGGCTATGCCAAATGGCTGTGGGCTACACAGGTACATTTAGCAAACAAGAATGGCTTAGAATTCCGTGGCATTATTTTATAGAATGAAGAATACAATTGAACAAAGCTGAATAAAATAGAAAGGATATTTTCTCCAAATGATTTGAGGGAGTGTGCACATGCGGCTGTTATGTGTTGAGTGGTTAACAAAGAAATAGGTATTCCTATATGCTTCATTTAGAGTTATTAATGTAACTTTAGTTGTTCTACAAACGTTGGGCTATATGTTTAGATTTTTAATACATTGTAAGGCTGCATGATGCGACTAATGATGATTTGAAAAAAGTCGCTTGAAAGGCATGTGTTCTGCTTAGTTTTTTGCGCAGTATCTCATTCACAATTTAACAAGCACTTGATAATGGCTCAAATTTCACAGCGGCATCCCTTTTGTGTGGCCGTAATGCACCCTAAAAAAATCCATGCCTTTTGCGGCCAGTGATGTGGTCTTTCTCACAGGCTACAAGTGAAGACGGACACGTCGGGGACGCAACTGCGCGCGTCCTTATCCAATTCCGAGGTGCATATTGAAGATATTGGAAGAACTGTCCACATTTACTTTTCGTCAGCCAACAAGATGATTTGCCCTAACGAACAGAAAAAGCACTAGCCTATGTCAATATACTATCCCCCATAGTACAAAGGTCAACCTATTCTATTCTGTGCGAGAAATAAATATTCCAAACATAGTCTGGGACAGTTGTGGGATGCGATAGATCCCAAATTAATACAACCACTAGCATCCCAAAAACCTTTTTATGCAATGTGGCTGACGCAACAGATCAGAACGTTTAGCTTAAGATGTTGATAAACTATTAGGCTTATTCTTCACATTATAAGCGCAGCAATGCGCACCTGGTAGTAGACTATAAGCGCAAATGTTCCATTAGCAGAAAACACCTTTATCAAAAGTCACCGCAAATGCAATTATGCATGTAATGCTTGTATTATAAAGGTGCATTTGTATGGTGAAAATTATCTTCCCCAAACTTTAAACTCACGCGCTGCTTATGTATGCCAGTTAGGCTCTACACCCCTTGTAAAACGGATTTAATGTGCTTAATTTTAAGAAGTTATTTGGCCACTTTAGTTGTGATACAAACCTTATTAAAACATATGAGGTGTGAGACTATGATTCGAAAAGTCGCAAAAAAAGGCTTTGTTTCTTGACGCTGGGCGTCATTAACAAGTGATAGGCTAATATTGTCACCCATCAAACTATTCTTGATTTAATCTTGTCTTTACATATACTAAATAATATGTGTGAAATTTGTTTTGATTTTGAATGGACCATTATCATGCACCTGTATCGAAACAGGGACAGCGGGAAAAAATGGAACGCTTTTCCCCGTGGTTTATTTTCATGCCAGCCAGGTAGGCTATACTCCTGTTGTAAATATAAGCAATGTGCTTAATATTAGGAAAGTTGACAAATAAAAATAGTAGGCCTAGCCTATTGAAAGCTGATCCTCCTCTTTTCAGTGGAGGCCATCACTCTGTTTTCTTGCGCAATTTCATAGCCTATTGAAATGTTGCGCAACATGAGCTCATGGGCTCTCATGAAGTGTGTGTGATTAGATTTTCGATTACATTTGCATTGATGTCAGAGTGATTAGAGGGACAATAGAGTGCTGAGTACCAGGAAGTTAGCAAGTTTGGTAGGCTACTAATGACCATCAGCAGCATCAGAGGTTGGAGAAGCCTAATTACCGTGACTAAACGGTCACGTGGAATATGACTGCCTTCAGTACTCGTGACCACCGGTGTGGCAGTAATACGGTCACCGCAACAGCCCTACTCCCATATGTAAGCCTTAACTGAACAATCACTGTTATCTTAGAATGGGGTTATTTTATAATAGTAACACGTTAAAACAAGGGTAGCTAGGCTATCAATATCATTGACATTTTACATTTACATTTTAGTCATTTAGCAGACGCTCTTATCCAGAGCGACTTACAGTTAGCACATACATTATTTTATCGAACCCACAACCCTGGCGTTGCAAACGCCATGCTCTACCAACTGAGCTGACTCATCAGCAGCATGGTCTGACTTCAGCACAGTCAGTGTCATCTCCCTAAAATGGCCTCCTAGGCTGTCACACTCAATACAGATACAGCAGTGACATTGTCAGCTCCGTTTTGGGCATAATATCAATTTCCAGGAAAGAAGAGTTAAATTCACACACAGACATGCACACATACACACAGAGAGAGCACATATACACACAGTACACAAGGAGACTAGGGTGAGGAGGATGTGTGGGTGAGGGAAGCGGAGCATGGGGAGGTGGAGGGGGTAGTTTGGACAAAAGTCTTAGCTGGGCTGAAAGAGCAGTGCACTGAGGGCAGAAGAGTCCTTTCATGAGTGACTGCCCTTTTTGGAGGACGTGCCTTGCCTACTAACAAGCTCTACTGTAGCTGGCTAATGACCTAGCTCCAAGCAGAGATGCACAGCTAGGATGACATGGAGATGGAGGAATGAGTGTGAGAATGTGATTTGAAGGAGTCAGGCGCAGGAGGGTAACTCACTGAATACAGAGTTTATTCCGTAGGACACAGTTACACTGGATAGCGTCAACAAAATACAGGCACTCGGGGAACAATATCCCCGGAAATACACCCCCCCCCGGACGCGCAGCTCCAGCAGCGCGCCGACCCCCGGCCTCGGGGACGGCCAGGAGGATGCGGAGCAGGGCGAGCCGGATGGCGACGGTGGAAACCCCGCAACAGGGAGGGATCAAGGATATCTCTCACCGGAACCCAGCACCATTCCTCCGGACCGTACCCCTCCCACTCCACGAGGTACTGAAGGCCCCCCACCCGACGCCTCGAATCCAGGAAGGAACGGACAGAGTATATCGGGGCCCCCTCGACGTCCAGGGAGGCGGAGGGACCTCTCGCACCTCAGACTCCTGGAGCGGACCAGCCACCACCGGCCTGAGGAGAGACACATGAAACCTACCCACATCCTGATTTACCCGTTCCACCTGCCCATTAGACTCTGGGTGGAACCCAGAGGTCAGGCTGACCGAGACCCCCAGACGTTCCATGAACGCCTTCCAGACCTTGGATGTGAACTGGGGACCTCGGTCAGACACTATATCCTCTGGTACCCCGTAGTGCCGGAAGACGTGTGTAAACAGGGCCTCCGCAGTTTGCAGGGCCGTGCGGAGACCGAGCAGAGGAAGGAGGCGGCAGGCCTTTGAAAAGCGGTCCACAACGACCAGGATGGTGGTGTTACCTTGGGAGAGGGGAAGATCAGTCAGGAAATCAACACTTAGATGAGACCATGGTCGTTGTGGAATTGGTAAAGGTTGTAACTTACCCGCTGGGAGGTGCCTAGGTGCCTTACTCTGGGCGCACACTGAGCAGGAGGAGACATATACACCCTCACGTCCTTAGCCAAGATAGGCCACCAGTACTTTCCAGTCAGGCAGCGCACTGTACGACCGATACCTGGGTGACCAGAGGAGGGTGACGTGTGTGCCCAGTAGATCAGACAATCACGGATAAGAGCATGCACGTACCGCAGTCCAGCTGGACACAGGTGGAGATGGATCTGTGCGTAATGCCTGCTCTATATCCGCGTCCATCGCCCATACTACCGGCGCCACAATGCAGGAGCCGGGAGTATGGGGGTGTTGTCTCTGGGCCTCTCCTCTGTGTCATACAGCCGTGACAATGCGTCTGCCTTCACGGTCTTTGTACCCGAGATGTATGACAGTGTAAAATCGAACCGGGTGAAGAATAGCTTAGTGGTTAAGAGCGTTGTGCCAGTAACCGAAAGGTCGCTGGTTCTAATCCCCGAGCCGACTAGGTGAAAAACCTGTCGATGTGCCCTTGAGCAAGGCACTTAACCCTAATTGCTCCTGTAAGTCGCTCTGGATAAGAGCGTCTGCTAAATGACCTATTTATTTTATTTAATAGGGCCCTCCTGGTCTGGCGAGGATTCAGCCTCCTTGCTGCCCGGATGTACGCCAGGTTACGGTGTTCCGTCCAGACGAGGAAAGGGTGTTTCGCCCCCTCGAGCCAATGCCTCCACACAGTCAAAGCTCAGACAACAGCCAACAGCTCCCGATCACCAACGTCGTAGTTCTGCTCCGCCGGGCTGAGCTTCTTAGAGAAGAAGGCACAAGGGGTGGAGCTTGGGTGGTGTGCCCGAGCGTTGAGATAGGACAGCGCCTATCCCTACCTCGGACGCATCCACCTCCACTACGAACGGTAGTGATGGATCGGGGTGGACCAGTACCGGGGCTGAGGTGAACAGACCCCTCAGTTTCCTGAAGGCCGGGTCAGCCTCAGCAGACCAGCGGAGCCGGGACGGCCCACCCTTCAACAGAGATGTAGTGGGAGCTGCGACCTTGCCAAAGCCCCAGATAAACCTCTGATAGTAGTTGGCAAAGCCCAGAAAGCGCTGCACCTCCTTAACCGTGGTGGGAGTCGGCCAATTACGCACGGCTGAAATGCGATCCCCCTCCATCTCCACCCCTGAGGTGGTAATGCGGTATCCGAGGAAGGAGACGGACTGCTGGAAAAACATACACTTCTCTGCCTTGGCATAAAGGTAATTTTCCAACAGTCGGGGCAGCACTTTGCGAACCAGGGACACATGCTCGGCGCACATTGCGGAATACACCAGAATGTCATCGATGTAGACCACTACACCGCGACCAAGCATGTCCCGAAACACCTCGTTCACAAAGGACTGTAAGACGGATGGAGCATTCATCAAACCGTAGGGCATAACCAGGTATTCATAATGCCCCGTGGTTGTGCTGAATGCTGTCTTCCACTCATCTCCCTCCCGAACACGCACCAGGTTGTACGCACTCCTGAGATCTAATTTGGCGAAGAAGCGCGCCCCATGCATTGACTCGATCACTGACGGAATGAGGGGGGGGGGGGATAACTAAACCTGATCGTCTCCTTGTTCAGTGGTCGATAATCAATGCAAGGGCACAAACTGCCGTCTTTCTTCTTCACAAAGAAGAAACTCGAGGAGGCGGGTGAAGTGGAGGGACGTGTATATACCCCTGGCGCAGGGACTCGGTGACATTTGTTTCCATAGCCGCCGTTTCAGCCTGCGACGGGGTACACATGACTCCTGGGAGGTACAGCATCTACCCGGAGGTTTATCGCGCAATCCCCCGCCCAATGAGGTGGTAACTTGGTAGCCTGCGTCTTTGAAAACGCATGCACCAAATTGAGGTATTCGGGGGGGAACGCGCACGGTGGAGGTACTGTCTGGACTTTCCGTGGTTGCACCAACAGAAAGACCTAGACACCTACCCTGACACACTCGTGACCACCCCGTGAGAACCCCCCCATGAGAAGGTGGGGTTGTGGAGTGCTAACCAAGGGATACCTAATACCACAGGGAAGCAGGGGACTCAATAATTTAAAAAAAAGTGATCTGCTCTCCTGGGTAATCATGGTGACTGGTGCAGTAACTTCCTGAACAAACCCGGACCCTAATGGTCGACAATCAAGTGCTCTGATGAAATACCTAGACGGCGTGAGAATGCCCTGTCCATAAAGTTCTCAGCTGCACCTGAATCGAGTAACGCCTTACATTGGGGAACTACCATGTGATCTGGAAAGTAGATGGGTAGGGTACAGTGCGCAGCAGAGGGCTCTGAACGAGTGTGGGTGTTCGATACCTGGGGTGATGCGAGTGCCCTGCCTGCCGCCTCCAGACCCAAAAGAGCGTTGACGACTCCGTGTGGTGTACTGTCGCTGTCGTCCTCCGCTCTCTCGGATGGCGGCTCCACCCAGCTCCATCAGCTCGGGGTGGGAACGAGCAGACCCCTTCCAGGACGTCCTCTGGCTGCCAGCAGGTTGTCCAAACGGATGGCCATGTCCGCCAGTTGCGTGAAAGACAACATGGTGTCCCGGCAAGCTAGCTCCTGTCGGACGTCCTCCCACAGATGGCACCGGAAATGGTCCATAAGAGCCCGCTCGTTCCACCCGGACCCCGCTGCCAGTCCGAAACTCCAAAGCGAAGTCCTGCGCGGTCCTCGTCCCCTGCCTCAGGTGGACCAGCCGCTCGCCAGCCTCTCGACCCTCGGGCTGGTGATCGAAGAACGCCCGAAAGAGGCGAGCGAACTCCCTGTAGTTCTCCAACGCGGCTCCTCCTTCGTTCCACACCGCGTTGGCCCACTCCAGGGCTTTCCCCGACAGGCAGGAGACTAGGGCGGACACCCTCTCCCACTCCGATGGGGCCGGCCTGATGCTGGAGAAATAGAGCTCCAGTTGGAGGAGGAATCCTTGGCAGAGCGCCGCCGTCCCGTCAAACTCCCGTGGTCGGGAAATCTGGATCCCTCCGGGTGCTGGGGTGTGGGCGGCTGGATCCGGTTGGCCAGCTGGTCTCGACAGATTTGGGTACTCTCCTCTCCAGGCGTTGGACGACCTGAAGAACCCGATCCATCGCTTCTCCCAAGCTGGCCAGTATCGTGGAATGCTCCTGGACCCGTGCCACGACTCCAGGCGTGCGCTCCTCTCCCGCTGACTCCATAGTGCGGGTGGGTGATTCTGTGAGAATGTGATTTGAAGGAGTCAGGCGCAGGTGGGTAAATCACAGAATACAGAGTTTATTCCGTAGGACACAGTTACGCTAGTAGCGTCAACAAAATACGGGCACACAGGGAACAATATCCCTAGAAAGACAAGGTACGGGTAGCTCAACCGAGCTACACTCAACTCACAAATAACAATCACCCACAAGGACAAGGGGGGCAGAGGGAACACTTTTACATGTACTAATGAGGGGATATGAACCAGGTGTGTGTAATTGACAAGACAAGACAAATGGAATGATGAGATATGGAGCGGCAGTGGCTAGTAGGCCGGTGACGACGAACGCTGAAGCCTGCCCGAACAAGGAGGGAAGGCAGCTTCGGAGGAAGTCGTGACAATGAGTGTGTGTTTTCATGTATCTGGATGTGCTTTAGGGAAAAGTTTCATGAGCAACTTTCCTTGGCATAGGAGAACTACCCATGGAGCTACACAGAGAGGCTTGTGTGTGCTTGTTTTTGTTTATGCAGGGCTTGCATCTGTGTGTGTGTGTGTGTGTGTGTGTGTGTGTTCTTGACTGCCTAAAAATATAGCAATGCCAGAATCACAGGGTGACAGCCGCAGGGCCAAATCATTTCCTGCCAGCATTGCCCCATTTAGAGAACCTTTCCTTGATGATAATGATGCTGTGTTAGTATGAGAGCGAGAGGGATGGAGAGACTGGGGTTATATGAAGAACACGTGTATTCAGTTGAGTGTGTGTGCAGCAATCTCTCTGACGCAAAACCTTTCTGACACATGGGTTCACAGTGCCCATCCTCGCATCGCTCATAGCAGTCCGGGTCAGACACACACACACAAACACATCCTCACATATCTTACACATGTTCACTCCCATTGTGTAGCGGTATCTATGTACAAAATGTATTCTCTATTTCCTGTAGTATAGCACAAAGCAAAGATCTTTTGACAAAGGACTTGGACAATACATTTGGCATAAAAAATGACTAGGCTATTAAAATGTTAGATTCCTCGCTCTTATCAGGCAGAGGCGAGCTGCGTCAGGGACAGAGGGAAGTGGTGTGGGTGGCTGGTGAAAAGAGGATGACTCAACTGCCAACTAATGCTGTGTCACTGGGGGAAAGTTTTTTATGTGCAGTGTATTAACATTTTCTGTCTTTCTTCCTCCTTTCTCTCACCCTCTTTCTCTTCATTCCCCTCACCATTTTTCTCTTCCACCGTTCTTCCTCTCGCTCTCCCCCTCAGGGTGTGGAATGCCCTGACAGATAACTATGGCAACGTGATGCCAGTGGACTGGAAGACATCTCACATTCGCTCCCTGCATCTCCCCACACTCAACCTCTGCAAGCAGGGGGTAAGACACACACCCACACCCATAGGCAAACACTCACACACATGGTCTGCACTGCCCCACTCTGTACACATTCCCCCGCTCAGCACACCTGTTCGTTAGCTCAGCCAAGCTGACTCATCTCTCTTTTTTCCTCTCTCTCCCAATCTCTCTCTTTTTGTCCATCTTCTCGCCCTCTTCTCTCTCTCTCTCCCTCTATGTGATGGACAGAAGCTGGACAACATGCCTCTGGACCTGTCTGATGATGAGGAGCTGAGGGAACAGATGGATATGCACTCCATCATTGTGTCCTGCATCAATGATGAGCCGCTCTTCACTGCAGAGCAGGTACAAACACACACACACATTTGACAGACAACGCACTCTCTTTCTATCATGTCTCAAATTCACCACACACTACTACTTACAAAGCCACACTCTTAACACAAACTATGCGTGTGTGTGTTGCAGGTGATTGAGGAGATTGAGGAGATAATGCAGGAGTCTCCAGACCCAGAGGAAGATGAGAGCCCGTCCCAAACAGACCTGTCCATGCTCTCCCAAGACCTCAGCAACCTCAAACGCTCCAGCTCCAACACCAGCTATGAGGACCGTGAGTTATTCCTAACTCTCATCTAAATCACTAACTGCTCAAGTATAAACAGCTCCTTGCAGCTGTATTACACAACCCCATACATATACACTGAGTATACCAAACTTTAGGAAGACCTTCCTAATATTGAGTTGTGCACCCCCCACCCCCACCCCCCTGTTCCAAAGGGATGCTGGCCCATGTTGACTCCTATGCTTCCCACAGTTGTGTCAAGTTGGCTGGATGTCTTTTGGGTGGTGGGCCATTCTTGATACACACGGGAAACTGTTGAACAAACCGGTGCACCTACTACCATACCCCGTTCAAAGGCACTTAAATATTTTGTCTTGCCCATTCACCCTCTGAATGGCACACATACACAATCCATGCCTCAATTGTCTCAAGGCATAAAAATCCTTCTTTAACCTGTCTCCTACCCTTCATCTACACTGATTGAAGTGGATTTAACAAGTGACATCAATAAGGGATCATAGCTTTCACCTGGATTCACCTGGTCAGTCTATGTCATGGAAATGTTAATGTTTTATATACTCAGTGTATATACAACTGGACCGCAGATACAGGCTCACAGTAGCATTGTTACATAATAGACATTAGATACAACTGGACAGCAATTACTGCATACTTGTTATGTAACTTTAAATGCACATCATATCAAGATGTAATGCAAACGTTTGGGACTGACCATGTAAGTATGTGATGTGTTATCCTGCCATGTGTTAATGGTATTTGTCAAGCCCTATATAAGTATGCGTTTAGTATGTTTATGTTCTAATCCCTACCTCCCCCCAGGCTTGCGTCTTCTTTCGTTCTCAGAGCTGAGCGAGGCCTTGGAGGAGGTGGAGACTGCCATCAGGCGCTACAGTGAGGAGCTGATCCAGGCCCTTGCCCTGAGAGACGAGCTGGACTTTGAGAAGGAGGTGAAGAACAGCTTCATCTCGCTGCTCATCGACGTGCAGAATCGGCAGAAGGAGCACCGCGAGCTGCTCCGCAAGAAGAAGAAGATCAGGCCCACAGGCAGCGCTCAGAGGGCCGACAGGACACATGTCCCTGGGACGGTGAGCGAGATGGGGCACTGATACACAGATTCGTACACCTAGTATTGTATAAATTTAAATGCATATAATACACGTTGTGATGCACACATACGCACATAGATAGAGGGGTCCGAAATTATTGACGCCCTTGATAAAGATGAGCGATAATGACTATATAAAGTAAATAATTCAAGTACTGACCTAATTGTATGCTCCAAAAAATTGGGAAATTATATTATTTTATACTAATACAATTGCTCAGAGAAAGAGATTTTGTTTAACAAGTCATAATTTTTTAACTCAAATGTAGTGGTCAAAATTATTGACCCCCCATATTATTTGGTCCCATATTTCTATCACACAATGACTACATCAAGCTTGTGACTACAAACTTGTTGGATGCATTTGCCGTTTTTATTGATTTGATTTATTTTCAGATTATTTTGTGCCCAATAGAAATGAATGGTAAATAATGGATTGTGTCATTTTGGAATCACTGTTATTGTAAATAAGAATATAATAGGTTTCTAAAGACTTCTACATTAATGTGGATGTTACCATGATTACGCATAATCCTGAATTAATCGTGAACAATGATGAGTGAGAAAGTTACAGAGGCATAAATATCATACCCCAAGACATGCTAACCTCCTGTTATTGGTAATGGTGAGAGGTTAGCGTGTCTTGGGAGTATGATCTTTTGACCCTCTGCAACTTTCTCACTCACAATAATAATTGGGCATAAAATAATCTGGGGGAAAAACACCTAAACAAACTGCAAATGCATCCAAAAAGTTTGTATAGTCATAAGCTTGATGTAGTCATTGTGTGCTAGGAATATGGAACCAAATACTAAACCTTTGACTACTTTAATTATTTCTGACACCACTGTAAGTGTATTGTGCACACGGGTAGATGCATGCACTGGAAACAGAAGAAATGCATGAGAAACATGCATGCATGGAAGTACTGTACTAACTTCTGCCACTCACCCTGTAGACCCTGTTGGGTCTCTCTCTCTCCTTACGCTTTATTATACAGTCCGCTATTTACCTACTATTTACATGGTGGAAAATGTATTTATTTACATCATTACATTGTAATTATTGGGCTTTGTTGTATGCCATTTTGACATGTCTTTGTAAATACCAGCTGAAATCAGGACTGTAAAATAAAGCATCCAGTAGGTCTGAATTCACCCTGCCATTGTTTTTGTCCAATCTGAACTGTTGGACTTCTGTGTAGATAATTTGTCCTTTTTGGAACCAGAAACGATGGAGGGTTGAATCCAGTTCTATACCCCTCTTCTTATTCTCCTGCTCTGTAGAGCTCTCATGTCTTTTTGGAGGGTTTCTCATTCTTTCTCTAGTTTTATCTCTCTTGCATTCTCTCCCTCATCTCCCTTCCTCTAGCTCTTCACTATGGAAGGGCTGTCCACTGTCATTCAGAACGGCCTCCGTCAAACTTTCGGCATCACAGGAGGGGACAAACAGGTGCCCCTCTCTCTAGCTATCCTCTCGTCTTTTTTTAAGTTTTTCTTATACTTTTTTGGACAGTTATTTTCTCTACAGCTTTTGCCGCTGCTGTGTTTTCCACGTGTCCTCTTTATTTTACCATCTTTCATTTTCATTTTTTCTATCAGTTTTTTAACTCAAGCCCTCCTTTCTGCTCTCACTCATCCTCTGGCTCATTCTCTCTGTCCATCAAACACAAATTAAGCAGCTCTCCTTATCAGCTTTCATATCCTTCTCTTTTTATGACTTATTATTTTCCCCCAATGCTTTTCCTGTCTTGTTGACTGAGCATTTAGCCTTGAGATTGTCTGTAACTTGATGCTGAATCATCCAATAGTGTGCACTCCTTATTTCCTGCAAATAAGCATCCTCCTATTACTAATGCCCAACTGTCTCCCACCAAGCTAAAACCAACCAATGGCCTTAACCCAATCGCTCACCTACAGCCACACGCCAACCAATCACAACTTACTTTCACTCATTATTGGCTCAGAGTCGACCAATGACTTTCTCTCTCTCAAATAATCAGTTTCTTGAATTCAACAATTTATACAAATGGTGATGGTAAGGTTTAGGGTTGTGACGGTCATGGAATTTGGGATGACGGGAATTGGCCAGCCAAATGACGCGGTCTCTTTTAATAACCGTTCGAATAGTAAAACACTGCAAAGTAGTTAAAATGCTGTTGGTTCCACTTTAAAGGAAATATTCACCCATTTTGAATGTTATATTGTATTTCTGCATCACTGGGCGATGTTCTATCGATTCCCGGGGTCATTTCATGTTTTTATGTGTATCTGATCTATTTGTCGTTCAAGCAGGCAGAACTACAGCCTGTATGACGAGTTTTGCATCATATGCTAAATTCTCAATAACTTTCTATTGTATCATGGTGCAGTTTTTCATTTTCTTTCTGTTCTTCCATCCTTTACATTCCCTCTCTCCTGTGTCTTGTTCTCTCTCCTCTTGTTCTGTGGTTGTGACGTGTTTCTCGCTCTCAGTATCTGACCACAGTTATCCCATATGAGAAGAACGCTGGCTCCCCCTCTGTGGAAGACCTTCAGATCCTCACCAAGAGTGAGTACTGACATGTTCCTGTTGATTACAACGGTTTATTTCTTTTACAAACCACACTTTGTCTGTCAACTTGCAATTCACCATAGGCCGACTGATGAAAGCTGTAATGTGAAGACTGAAATGTCATATTATAACCATGATATTAACTCATCCCAAGTCTGTGTTTGTGTTTTTCTCACTCTTCTCTCCATGCAGTTCTGCATGCCATGAGGGAGGACAGTGAGAAGGTACCCAGCCTCCTAACAGACTACATTCTCAAAGGTACACCCTCCCTACCAGTTACAAAACTCTTACTCCCGTTATTACCGCACAGGGTGTACATTCTCAAAGGTACTCAATTACTTTGAGAAAACATTGCGCCCATTCAAAACAGAGCTTTTGTCTAGAATGACAGTCTCACTACGACCTAGTGCCTGAGAAAGATACTGCAGGACACGAGGGTTCAGTTAGGATACATGTTATTAGGAGGGTCTACTTCCAGTGTGTACTTTGTTCCCTGAAGGCCTGCAGGGTTGTTCTGAGCCTTTCATCTTGACCTTTACCCTCCTTGTCTCTCGCCTCTGCTGCGCCGCTCTGTCGCTAGCTCTGGTATGAGAGTGGTGGACGTGGAGGTTTGTGAGGCTCTCACACACACACAATCACATGCATACAAGAAACGCGCACACACACGTAATGTGTGGAGAGCCCGCTCTCACACACCTCCGAGACAGCCCCCTTCACTGGCTATGTGCTGTAGTGTAGTGTGCCTTTGCTGTGCTTGTGATTATGGTGTACACTCACTTAACCACTATCTTACACACACTCCCTCCTCCTACTCACTCACACACTCTTGCTCACCCCCCCCCCCATCCTTTCTTAATTGCTCTCCTCAATGTGGTAGATAATTTTAGGTTGACAGCTGTTTTCTGGGTGTTCTTCTTGTCCCTGCAGTGCTGTGTCCCACATAGAGCCAGTGGAGGAGCCACCAGTTCTACAACACTGAACACTCCAGGCATAAGCACCTTTTTTATTTTATTTTAGGTACTCAGCTTACTGTCCCTGACCTCCAGGGGGCCCCCATTGATTTTGTTAGTCACTCTCACTCAGATATCAATAACATGGCATAAGTCATGGTAAAATGTGTTGAATTGTAGGAAATTAACTTTAAAACTGCAGAGATTTTTTTATCCCATGGTAAAATGGGTAGAAATGCTTGGAGGGCCCCCAACCAAATCTCTCTTAGAGCCCCCAAAAGGCTAGAGCCTGCCTGCAATCAGGAGATGCAGAGTTCTAGAACATACCAATGGAAGGAGAGTCACCCACCCCACCCTCCTAATAATGTGGACTCTTCCTGATGGAGTATTTTATTTCTCCACCACAACTTTTCCTGCGACCTTTGAGATTCACATTTTAATGCCTGTTTTACATTATAATTTTCTCACATTTTACGTGTAATCTTAAATGTTTTTTAATGTTGTAATGCTATAATCTCACATTAGTTTTAATGTCTTCTCTGCATGTTAGCAGTATTACTCTTCATTGTCTAAAGTGGCTTCCTATACTCATCTCCTATCCTCCATTTGCACTGATGTGAAGGAACTGGAGACAGAAAACAAATTCCTCTACCTTCACCTGCCTGCCTTTTCACATCAGTAAAGATTAGGGTGAGGAGACAAGGAGAAGAAGTCACTTGACAATTGGGATGCAGCTTTTCTCTGTTAAACTGGCCAATGCCCTCTGTGTATATATAGGAGGGATGGGGAAATAAGACTTCTTCAACCAGTCTAACTAGGGTGGGATCAGTCATGGTGTCCAATGAGAGCTCTCCACTTTATCAGAGAGCTCCTATTGGTTCAGAGCAATTAATGATTGACAGACCATGGGGATTAGTGGGGTTCAGAAGCCTTGTTTTCCCCATCTCTTAGGTTTTACGTTTCATAAACCCCCTGAAGGGTTGTGTATGTCTTTGCATGCTGCTACATAGGATTAGGGAGCTACATCGGTCAAATGTTATGAAGCATTATTTTGTATACTACAATGTGAAATTGCACAGATCTAAAATGTTTTTTTAAGTGATGAACTTCTCGAAACAGGGAAAAATAATGACAGAAGTTAGTAAGGTAACTGAAAGAACAAACTTTTTTTTTTCTGTATTTTTAGAGAGATTTTCACTGCCAGTAGTGTGTGTGGCCACTTATTATGACATCACCATTGTTATGTAATCACTAGCCGTCAACCTCTGACCCCTCCTAGTGATCACCCTGTATACTTGCCTCATACATCCTCTGTAACGTACAGTAAGTTAAGGGTTATTTGAGTAATTTAATGGATACAGCAATAATATTAGGACGTTAAATTGCTATGAGTTGATCCTGCCATGTTGTTTTTAGAACCAATAACTCTTTGATGTTGTGTAAAGGTTGGGGATCTAGTGATGACATGTTATCTTGTCTTGTCCAGTGGACGTAGCAACAGTAGTCTATCACCAAATCGTTGCATGTACTTATGTAGACAATTTAAAGGATGTACGGAGGTTTCTGTACAAAAGTAGGAGAGATCCTTCAAACATAAACATTTCAAAAACCCATTGTCTACATCCACAACCACTAACCTTCAGCACTGTCTATAATATCACCTGTGTACGCCACAATCCTTTCAAATCGTCAGCAGTAACTAAGCTCAGTGCACAATAATTACAATAGCACACAAACCGATCAGGCACGGTCTATCACTACTCAGGTACACCCAGAGCGTTTGTTCTACAGCAGCCAGCCTGTCCACAGAAGTACAGCAATATGGATCGTGTTAGGATGAAGAGTGTAGATGTTGTTACTCCATGCTTGGGGATAATGTTGTAGCATTAGCAAGCCCATCATCCTACAGCTTGAGTAGCCATGTAGTAGTTTTTGTCTGTCCTAGGCCTGAGTAGTAGTATACTAACATCAGTGATAAAGCTTCAGACAAGTATAGGCTAGTACTTGAAGATCTAGCTAAGTGGTCGTTGTAGCACCAGCTTGCATTAACTCTGTAATAAGGCAGCCTGACAGCTATAGACAGCAACTAGAAATCCCAGGTACTCGGCGGGCCGCTGTAAATCGATGGTAGTGCCAGTCCTCACTATTAGAAGTCCAGGGTAGTTAGCGGGAATCATGGAGTCTAACGGAAGCTCTCTTTTCCCTGTATGAAAGTGTATGTTATGAAGAGATGTTGGGTTTTAGTTGAGGGTCTCAGAAGGCATCTTTCTTTATTAAGTGAAGCCAGCAAAGTTAGTAGACCTCTACGTACTGTACAGAATCATATGTAACTATCTTTCAACTGTAGCAAGCTTCAAAAGCATTCAGAACCCCTAGCATGCGCTTTATCTACTTTTACTTCAAGGAAATAAAATGAATGATAAGGAATAAGGTCACCGAGTGGCGCAGTGGTCTAAGGCACTGCATCGCAGTGGTAGCTGTGCCACTAGAGATCCTGGTTCGAATCCAGGCTCTGTCGTAGCCGGCCGCGACCGGGAGACCCATGGGGCGGCGCACAATTGGCCCAGCGTCGTCCAGGGTAGGGGAGGGAATGGCCAGCAGGGATGTAGCTCAGTTGGTAGAGCATGGCGTTTGCAACGCCAGGGTTTTGGGTTCGATTCCCACGGGGGGCCAGCATTAAAAAAATTAAAATAATGTATGCACTCACTAACTGTAAGTCGCTCTGGATAAGAGCGTCTGCTAAATGACTAAAATGTCAATGTCACACTAAAGGGATCCTTAGCATTGAACCACATTGTAATAAGAAAGTTAAGCCGAACTGAAATGTATACTAGCTTGTGTGTGGTTTGGACTCCTTGAAACTGGAGTTGAGTTGAGAACTAGTATTATTCTGGTTGTCTTGGAGCGGCATGGGGTTGTCACGGAGATCAGAGAAGGTTATTGACTCAGGCTGAAGCCCCGCCCCTCGTTGCCTGGTCCCTCTATTTTAGCAGACATATCAGCGTATATACACGCTTTATCTAGAGATGTATATTTATATAAACACATGCAACAAATAAGGCTGCCTTTGTAAATGCCAGAAATGTATAATAGAATCTATTCATTTATTTTTAATGCAATATACTTCTTCCCCCATTTTGGGTTTTTATGTTTACTTGTCTTGTTGTCATGATGTACTAATGTACATTAATTTATTCAGTAAATGTTTGTTTTGTAACCATATCGACTGTAGTGGTACAAACGTTTTGTGCCAGAATTGCATTGGAACTAATTTCAAATAAAATGTTTACTTTGGTGTCATGCTATTGGTTTGTAGGTGCATCCATGATGATCAATAGTTGGTATTAAATCACCTTTTTACTCTAATTCAAGTTACTATCAAAATACATTGGTCCACACTTTTAATTGATAAAATCTGTAAACAGAAATTGTGCAGAAACCTATCAAAAGGCATTCTTACATGCAAGCAACAGCAAGTCAATGTACAAATATGTTTTATATCAAATGAAAAATACCTTACTCTTCTCTTTCTATGTTAGGTCAGTGTAGCTATAAGAGCAAATGTGAATATAAATGGATGCCTTAATACTGCTAATTGAAACAAGGATATGTTCTTCTCTCAGTGAAACAGAGCTTTTCTCTCTACCTCCTCGGGAGTCTTCTCCTATTTCATGAAAGCACTCATGCATATCTGTCCCAGAATTATGTCATAGTCTTGCTCACGAGACAAGTCCTTTTCTTAGACAATCTGAAGTGAGTCATTTATTTGCACGCATTTCTTTTTATTCCATTCTATTTAACCCAAGCGTGCTGTCTGGTAGGTCGGCGTGAGCAGTAAAACCAAACTGCACAACATTGCAGTCATAGCCAAATAGGATTAATTCTAAGCAGAGCCCCACCTGTTTAGCGAAAAAAATAAAATATATATAACTATTTTTTTGCAAGTTATTTTGGCATTAATGTGTGTCACATATCAGTTTGCAAACAATGTAAAATAAAAAATATTCCTTGAGTTAATAAAGCCGCATACAAACATGGTCTCTTTCTTGAGTAAGTCAGCTCCAAAATGCAGGTGTTTCAGCCTAGCTCAGTGCTTTCTGTGGTGGAGGGGAAGCCAGTGAAAATACAGAGCGTAGGCATTGGTAATCTTCTCTAGTTGCGTCGTGATAGGCTTAGTGTTCTGTCACTCATGGGGACACTATGTCACCGCAGAATCTACAGGGAGAGCTAGGCAGTTCAAGCCCTCTTGGGTGATGCCATACAGTAGATTTACATTAGAAGTGCCCCTCCAAGAAGGCTCAAGGCCATTGGCCACAGATGAAATGAAGTCAAATCACATATCTACCCGTAACTTTGATTGGACTGATCATGTCAACATCATACTTTCAAAATCTTAGCTAGCAAGCTAGACAAGCAGTCATTATTATGAATCATGTGGACAATATTCTGGCAAATCCTTTTCCATCCTTGCTATATGAAGAGAAATTATAGATAATCGGCCATTGGACATAAACATGACACAACAAGTCGGAAATCGCAAGTTCAACGAGTGGTTTGGAAGGAATCAATGGCTAACAGCAAGCGTCGCAAAGCAATCACTATTTTGCTTCCCCTGCCTGCTATTCGGTGGAGAGGGTGTGTGGTCCAAGTCTGGGTTTAAGGATTGAAAACATCTGTCTGAAAGGGTCTCTTTTCCAAGTTTAAAAGGATAAACATTCAAACCAACACCATGGGCCAGAAAAGGTTGAATACATTGGCCATGTTTTCAATCCAGCATGGCTTCTGCCATGTTCAAAACAACTGGAAACTCAGAAATGGGAAATCTCAGACTTCAGTGTGTTCAAGAAAACTGGGAACTCGGGGGAAAAAACTAGCTCCGACTGGGAAAATATGTTTTGACCGTCATTCAACTCTGAATTCCAAGTCGGGAACTCAGGCCTCTTTCTAGAGTTCCGACCTGAAGATCACTGACATCATGAAACCTTGTTTTCTTCCGAGTTCTAAGTTGTCTTGAAATAGGGTGACCATACGTCCTCTTTTTCCCGGACATGTCCTCTTTTTGGACCTAAAAAAATGCATCGGCCGGGATTTCTAAATCGCCCAAAATGCCCGGGATTATGCTTTCTACAGTCGCCATTCAATGTGTGCGTTTTTGGGGTTTTGCCTTGTTTTTACCTTTCTCTTTAGGTCCCGCCTTCTCACACGCCACCATTGGTCGGTCATGTAGGCCTACGCAAACATTGGTCAAACTGCATCTCAATCATTACCCTCACCATGGCAACAGCCAAGAGACAGCAGCAGCTTGCTTGTCAACAGTGGCACATGGCTCCAGAACAACGTAAAAATTGCCAAAAGCAAATGTAAATTCACAGACGATTTACAGAGAAAATTCCCGTGTTTTCGTCTTGGTCGGGATCGGTGTGAAGCTGAATGCATGACCTGCAAAGCTGGCACGTGTCAAATAAAGGTGCTAGCGACCTAGAAGCCCACATACGCTCCGCAAAACACTAAGTTGCAGGTAAAGGAGAGAGTTCGTCAGGTAAATTAACTGACTATTTTGTGAGAGCAGGTAAAACAGAAGATGCTGTTACTGCTGCGGAGGGAATTTTTGCATTCCACACCACGAAGCATCACAATAGCTACAGATCAATTGACTGCACGTATGCCTTGTTAAAAAAGGCTTTTCCTGATTCCGAGACTGCGCAAAAATGTTCAAGCGCTCGTACTATGATGGAAGCAATTGTTAACGCTGTGATAGGACCACATTCTGTCGACATAGCTCTGAAAGCACTAGAAGACATACCTTACTGTGGTGTTTCTACTGATGGGAGCAATCACGGTGCTGTGAAAATATTCCCTCTGCTTATTCAGTATTTTGATTGGAAGAATGGTGGCGTGCAAAGTAAATTAGTCGAAGTTAAACACTCCAAATGAGACAGCTGATATGATCGCGCAATACATCAAAGAAACACTGGAAAAGAATGGGATTTTTTCAAAATGTATTGCATTTACAGGTGACAACTGCAATAAAATGTTCTGGGGAATCCGGCGTGATGAAGAAGGAAATAATGTTTTCGCAAACTTAAAGAAGTCATTGCAGAACAAGTCTTTAATCGGTGTGGGCTGCCCAGCACACATCTTGAACAATTGTGTTCATTACGGGGCAGACACACTAGATGTCGATATTGAGAACATAATCTTCAAAATATGTCAATACTTTCACATCTACACTGTGCGCACAGAGAATCTGAAGTACTATGAATTTGTTGATGTTGAATACAGAAGTCTCCTTTCTCACAGCAAGACGCGATGGCTGTCATTATTCCCAGGTATTGAGAGGCTGCTACAGATATTTCCAGCCTTGAAAGCATTATTTTTGTCACAGGAAAAAACACCCTCCTTGATCAATACGTTTTTTGAAGATGAGTTCAGTGAAATCTACCTCTGGCACATGCACTCACTCATGTGTGTGTTTCATTCACACATTCAGGAGATGGAAAGGGAGAGCAATTCAATTGTGGAAGTGAAGAACCTTTTGAACAAAGTCCACACCATGCTTCTTGAACGCAAGACCAATAACTTAATGTCCCTTAAAGTTAAGGGACTATTGGCACAAAAGCACAAGGATGGACTTGGTAAGAATTATGACCATTTCAGTGCTCAAGTACAGGGTCTGTACAGTTCATGTCTGGAGTATCTGGAGAAATGGATGGCACCCATGGAGGAGTTCTCCTTTTTCATGTGGATGGATATGAGTGAGACACCTGACTGGAATGACATAGAAGCCTGTATCAAACACCTGGGAGAAAAGGGGGTGCCAATTGATGATCCAAAGTGCTTTGATCAGGTCACCAACCTAAAGAAATTCACAGAAAGGTGTAACAGTGATGGAGAGTTCAGTAATCTGCAAGCACACAAGAAGTGGACCAAATATTTTGAAAGGTCCAAAAGCATAGATTTTCATTCAGAGCTACTGAAGATTGCACAGTTTTTCTTTGCTATTCCTTCTCACAATGCAAATGTAGAGAGTTTTTTCACTGATGCAAAGCCAGTGGACAAAGGAAAGGAATCACTTGTCTGTTGAGTCACTGAAGGGGCTTCTGTGTACACAATACAACTTTAAAAACATGTCTTGCAAAGACTTTCATGCCTACTTGATTGGTAATCAAGGACTGTTGGGAAAGATTCGATCTTCGGAAAAGTATACCAGAGAGCATCAGGAGGCCTGACATTATTTTTGACAGAAATATATATATATATATATATATTTTTTTTTTTTAAACCTATGGCCATGAAAAGAAACAGTGTCATGTAAAAGGTGTTAAAAGCTAAACTATATATCTTTTTTTGTTTGTTATTATTCTATTGTTGAGGGC